AGTAAGAGCATCCCTGTGGTTGTCTGACTGTCAGTTAAAAAAAAAAAGAAAAAGGCTGATAAGAAGGAAGGTTGTGCAGAAAGAGAAGATGCTGTCTGACTCAGTCTCTGGTTTTCCAGGAAGTCGATAGGTTCCTGCAGAGCTGCTGTCATCGCCCAGTGTGTCCATGTGATGGTTAGGCAAGCAGACAGTTGTGTGGGGAAGAAACTGCCTTCCATGTGATGGTTGGGAAACTCAAACCAGTTTTCATCATGTTGTATTATGCAAGATCAAACACGCTGGAAAACTCGCTGTCATCCTCATTATCATCATGGTTATTGTAAATTAGGGAAGTAAAAGCATTACTAATACTGTAGTGTGATACAGTGGAGATGAGTCACAGCCTGGGAGAGTATATGTACTGGAGTCCATGTTTATGCATGACATAAACATGGACTCCAGTTTCAGCTGGGACAGTTTTTTTTAACTGCTCTGACAGTTCTTGACAAAGTTGAACCTACCCGTCAACAAAAACTTGCCATTTTTGTCTCAGAGTGTTTGTACCTGTAGGATCTCACTGATATGTTTATTAACATCTTAAAACTGCTTACATAGGTAGATTTTCCATTAACAAATACAGGAACATTTCTGTGGATTGTCTTATGTTGGCTAACCTGCTTGGCTAGCAAAATGCATGTGTAATTCACTTTTAGAGTCGTGCATTTTCTTTAGTGATTTTTTCCCCATGTGTAAATGGACTGATTCATATAAATCGTTTCTCTACTCTACTTTATACAACAGATTGTTACTCTGTGATTTCCTGTTTTATTTTGATAGCTGGTTGTCTTCTTTCTTGTCCTATGGCCTTCCTCAGCAGCAGTGAACCGTTTCCATCTTCTGTCTTGTGTTTGGTTTGACTTAATTGTTTTCACGTTGTCTTCTGGGCAAATATGTTTTACAAGTTTTAAGCTGTACCTAACTAAAACCACTGAATGAAGAACAAACTGTGGATTGCACTGTCATGGAAATGGGACTGTATTAATCTAGTGACGCAGAAATGTTAATAAACCTCATCTGCTGCTAAGTCTCTTTTACACTGCTGGAACTGCAGCTGCTTAAACACAGAGCACACACCAAGACAAACACCTGTTCAATCAATAAAATTAATTTCACTTTGATCTGCTGACAAATAAATCGATTTCCAAGTCTCTTTTACTGGACAATAACATTTAATGTTTAAGTGTATCCAATTTAAAGTCTAATCTTTAAGTTGGATACAGTCAGACATTAAACGTTACTCTTTAATAAAGGAGACTTGCAGAACTAAATTTCAGAGCCTTAATCTGCAGCCGCCCTCATCTAAGAAATAAACAGTAGCATTGAGAGTTCACTGAGTCTTTAGCAGAAGGCCCTGCTTGATGGATCATAGCTCCATTTGGTCACAGGGGAGCTGGAGCCTATCCCAGTTGTCTTAGGGTGAGAGGCAGGGTACACCCTGGACCAGTCGCCAGTCTGTCGCAGGGCTAAGACATAGAGACAGGCAACCATTCACACTCACATTCACACCTATGGGCAATTTAGAGTTACCAGTTAACCTAACCTCACTAACTGCACATCTTTGGACTGTGGGAGGAAGCTGGAGTACCCAGAGAGAAGCCATGCAAACATGGGGAGAACATTCAAACTCCACAGAGAAAGACCCTGGGCTGATGGTGAAATTGAACTCAGCACTTCTTGTTGTGAGGCAACAGTGATACCAATCATCTCAAATGGGGTTTTAGGGTTTTGTCAAGCCAGCTAATGCAAAAAAAGCTGGCTATGTTGAACTTAGTTTGTAGTATACCTCTTTAAAAACTGTGGTTTTTCTTTACTCTGATGATAGTTACTCTGAGTTTACATTTGGGTTCTTGAGCTGCAAATCCTGCAGAGTTGTCATGAATAGAGAGATTACTACTACAGTACTACTAAAAAAAATACTTTATTTGTAGCAGGCTGTAAACAGGTTTGTTTTTGCTACATTTTAAGTTGGACATTTTATCATGGAAATCTGTAAAATGTTAAATGCCGGCACTGTGTTTTGTGTTCAAAGCTATAACGTTAAAGGGATTATCATTCAGCCTCTGAAAATAATGATGCAATTTATATCCTTTTTAGTTATACGCTCATATTGAATCAATTCTTGTTGATTTAAATGACATGATTTGACAATTTATCACAGTCAGGCATTTTATGATGTATAATTGCATCATATTAACCTAATTTGATGTTGAAGTGACTATGAACTGATACTGACCCTGAACTACTTGAATATATAACATTTATGAACCGTGGTATATAAGATAATGTAATACTTAAGCTTCCATTGCCTGCTAATCATCTATATACTTTTCGCAGTTACTCTGTGATCCCATGGCCTCCCTCAGCAGCAATGAACCATTACCATTTCTTTAAAGGAACTATGAACATCAGAATGAATTAACCGCAACAAGCGTGCAGGTCCTCACATTGTGCTTAATTGATTGGTTGAGGACTAATATAGCTTATCTTTTTACCGGGAGCTGAGACATGTTGCTGTTATTTCACAACAGAGCGAGATGAAGGAGAGGGAGGCAGAGAGGATGTGTGGAGATTAATGTGCCCATCTGCACTGTGCAGACTCATATTCCTCAGTGCAACACTCTTGATACCTTCATCTCTTCTGTTGTTCTCTGAAGACAGCTGTTCTTTCCGCATGCAGGGTTTTTATTCTTCTTAATGTCAGATTTTCTTAATCAGACATTTATCACTCACTTTTAGAGCAAACCAAAGCTCTGTAAACCTACTTCTGTACTGAAGGAGATCTTTCATGCCCACAGGAAGAAAAAAAAACAATGTCCTCCTTTTCGCTGTCTCACAGCAGCGACACAACCTGCCCTAATTTCTGAGGTGCTACATTGGGGTGTGTTCAAATATTTAGTTTAGTGCACCAGGCCAATTATTTTTCAACCTCTCTGTCTGCTCCAGTGGCAGAAGATCAAAAGCCAAAAAGCCATCCGCCATGTTTACCTTGTTAACATGTACTTTTCATGGACTTCAGTGACAGTAATTTAGCCCGCTTACTATAAAAATCTCTCACACATCACACTCGTTCACACACACACAGCAGGGATGATGTTGATGCTATGGCATTACCGCTGATGCGATTTGGCATTACTGGGGCACGATTCCTGCTGAATGCCCTAAAATTTTGCCTCCCCTGTGCCCCCATCCCTACGTTCTGTCTCTATAGTCCTCTTAGCAATCACTCCAGCGACTACCTCCCCGTCTCCCGTAGTTGGGTCTCACCCTCACACGCTCAGTCACACACACTAAGCATGTTCATTTGGGGTGTGTAGACTCCATTCATTTCCCAGTGAGTCAAGCTATTCTTGTGCTTTGTAAGCAGAGATATGAAGCTGTGATCTTGTGTTTTTTTAAAGCCAATTTTTCTTCTTACAGCTGGTCATTTTAGGGGTTGCCACAATGGATCATGTGCCTCCATCCCACCCTAGCAATCCTCCTCCATCCCACCAACCTTTTGCATGCCATCCTTCACTACATTCATGATTTTTTCTGTGATCTGCTCCATATTAATCATTCCTTGTCTAGTAAATCCAACATCATCCAACTTATGGAGCACACGCACTGATAACACTCAATATTACCCCTTTGATTTCTGTCTGTTTTATTTAAACTCACAATTCTGATACTCTCTTCAATTTCACAACACTGTTTGCATACTCTTCCTTCAAGATTATTCCTACTCCATTTCTCCTCCTATCTACACCATGGTAGAACATTTTAAATCCACCTCCAATACTCCTGGCATCACTTCCCTGCCATCTGGTCTCAAAATATATCTACCTTCCTTCTCTCTATCACATCAGCTAGCTCTCTCCTTTTACCAATCATATTCTGTACATTTAAAGTCTGTACTCTCACCTCCACACTCCTGCATTAACCTTTTGTTTCCATTGGAACCCTGTTGGACAAAAGCACCAGAGGTGGTCTTTGTTAACCCAGAACCTGACTGATTGGGTGTGGAAATCTTATTCTTGATAATCCGCATGTTTCATTTGGAAATGATTTTATGCCAGTTCCTGATACAACCGTACCATGTAACCGTCACAGTTTGGCTAGGTTTAGGCAACAAACCACATACTAATCTTTATTAAAAGGTTAGGTTTGGGTTAAAAATAAAACTTCAACTATGTTAACAATGTTTTACAAAGTCTTTCTGGCAGAAAAACTTTAAAACAAAAGTCTGGGTGAAGCTAACTATATGTAGGCAGAGTGTTGAAACACCAAATCAAATGGCTCAGAAGAGCTAAAGGAGCACATATTACCTATCAGCTAATAACACAATGCTTGCATAGGAATATAATAACAATTTTAATCACTACAGCTGGTTCACAGACGTCTTGTACAGGCTGTACCACACAGAGAGCCATTCATTTAGTCAGAGAATTCCTTTAAAATCCACCACTGTGTATACATGTTTGAGAGGTCCAGTTTGGCAAGTGGAATTAGTGGAGGCGATGCCTCGCAGGCAGCCGGCTACAGCTTTCTATGTGAGCACACTTGTCAATCAAAATAGTCACACCACTAAATGTCAGCCTTAAAAAAGTTGAAACAGGTGAGATATAAAAAAATAAATAAAAAATCAACACCCTATAGTTGGAACCAGCCTCATGTGGCCATTAGAGGAACTGCAAGTGTTGGCACTTGCTCTTTTTTTTTTAGCCTTGGAGTTGCCAATTGGTCAACGTATAAAACTGCTCTAGCTTACAAGATAGTGATGTAATTTGGAAATTCAAAGGAGACTCTATTTATAGTTTAAATAACCAGAACAAATCTGTCGTTTTTTGCTAATCAAAAAATTCTGACGATATGCATCATTGTCAGTTACACCCAGATATATTGCTTCCCTGACACAATAAGACAAGTTAGTCTTGGTCTTTACACAAAGAAACCTTCACATGTCTCGTGTCATATATTTGCAGGTCTGCTGGGCAGCACCCGTTTCATCGGCTCTTCCCGAAACTACAGCACCCTGCTGTTGGAGGAGGAGGCCAGGCTGCTGTATGTGGGAGGCAGAGGAGCACTCTACGCTCTCAACACATCCAGCATCTCCACACCTGCAAACTTCACAGTGAGTGCCAAGTTGCTGAGAAACAGATAATTGCTGATGTTAAGACAGAAAAGCCCATTTCACGAGTTTTTCTCCCATTCGAAGGAGGAGAAACTAATAATAGCCTTAAGCAGATTGAGCAAATCCCATTGTGTTCCACCAATTTTATGGCTATCGGATTAAATGCACCAGGCATTTATTCAAGGGTTACTGAAGTGAGTCAGAACTTAGTGACGCAGCCAGAAAATTAAGTCTGCTGTCCTTCTCTTTTCCTCCCCCTGTTTATCACACACATACACACACATACTTTCTTCTCTCTATCTGTTACTTTCTTTTCTATCTATAGGGCTTTTTATTTATCTGTTTGCCTCTCTTTATTTATTTAGCTTACGGAGTCATCCTTATTACCCTCCCATTGTTTGCAGATTGATTGGGATGCTTCCCCTGAACAGAAGAAGCAGTGCCTAAACAAAGGCAGAGACAATCAGGTAAAAGGCTGCAGCTTTGTTTTCTTCTCGGAAAAATCTCCCATCTTTATTTATTAGGTTAATATTGGAGAGCACAAGTGCAACTGCTCCGTTTTGTGATGCTTGTGACAGCAACGAAACATTCAATCCTTCCAGTTGTTTTGTAATTTAGTTTCCCTGAAACCCTGAGACACTAAACTGGAGGTTGAGGATTTAAAATAAATGGCACTCATTCATTCATTATTTTTATAAATTAGACCATATACATTAAGTAGAGGTTTTCTCCATCTTTTATTTGTTGTAGAGCAAACAAAAAACAAGATGTCGCTAGAAAGGTCTGAAACTTCTGATTGACTGGGATTTTCTTTTTTTGGCAAAACCATCTCAAAGAATAACAGCTTGTTACAAACAAGGTATGCAGGAGAGGATTCCTGTCAACTAAGAACAGGAAACTGAGGCTAGAATTCAGAATAGAAGATTGGAAGAATGTTACCTGGTCTGAAGAGCTACGTTTGAATGCCGCAGCAGAAATCGTGACTCATCAGCCATTGTTTAAATGCCAGAGCGTATCTGACTATTGTTGCTGACCATGTCCATCCCTTTATGACCACATGATATCCACCTTCTGATGGTTGCATCCAGCCATGAAATGGCTGTGACAAAGCTCTAATTATCTCATACTGGTTCCTTGAACAGGACCATGAGTTCAGTGTGCTCAAACTGGCCGTAACAGTCTCAATCCAATAGAGCACATTTGGGATGTGGTGGAACTGGAGATTCACATCATGGATGTGCAGCAAAAAATCTGCAGTGGCTGTGTGATGCTATCTCGTCAGTATGGACCAAAATCTCACAGAAATGTGTCCAGAACTTTGTTGAATCTGTGCCACAAAGGATTAAGATAGTTCTGGGGGGAAAATGGGATCCAAACTGGTACTAGCAAGGTGAACCTGTGTGCTTTCCAGTTTGGGCTGCCTTAGCTGGTGAATTTTATTGAATATAGACAGATTAGCACCTACTCCATTTAAAACAGTCACATTTCAAAAAAAAAGTTGGCATTAGATTCTCATGATGACCAGTGACAGTGATCTGTATCTAATGAAAGAAAACATATCCCCATAAACCTTCAAAATAAGAGCTTCCTGTTTATGGAACCTATTACCATTAAATATATTACTGAGTGACTCTTACCACTTCCTTGCAAGCACTCTTTAAAATTTGTTAAAAAACCAACCAGACTTGTCATCATGCTTAGCTAGTGCATATTTGCCTTTCTTTTTTTTCCAGTTTTGTCAGTTTGCCTCCTTTATGGCTTTTTCTTTGTTATCAATAATGTAATGAGAGTTTATGTAACTTCCTTTTGAACTGCCTTTGCTGTCTAATAGCATTAATGTCATCTGTATTGTATTTGATTTATTTTGCATGCTTCCTTCTCTGCTCTCTAAAGCTTTTCCTCCCTATCTTTGAAAGGTTATTCTTTTATGTTTTATTGTTTTTAACACCCGGGAAACAAATTGATTGACTGATTATTATGTATTGCCGCTGAGAAAAACAAGCAGATACACAACAAAAAACAAATCACTTCATTTTACTGTGTTCTCTGCAGACAGAGTGTTACAACCACATCCGCTTTCTGCAGCGATACAATGAGACTCACCTGTACGTCTGTGGAACGAACGCCTTCAGACCGCTCTGTGCTTATATCGTAAGAGATCCTGGGTTTTTTATGTCAAGTAAAATTGTGACAAGAATTGAAATGAAACAACTTATTATGTGTTCTCAATCTTTTTTTTTTTTACAAGGATGCAGAGCGTTTCAGCTTCTCCTCAGGTTTTGAGGAAGGCAGAGACAGGTGTCCGTATGACCCAGCAAAGGGATTCACCGGCCTCATCGTAGGTAAGTCCAAATGCAATTTATTTTATTCTACAAACCATCCTGCATTATGTTTGTCCTTGGGGATCTTATTTGTAAAGGCCTCTGGGCAGTAAAGGTTTACTGTTCTCACACATTATGGTGGCATAGTGGTGCGGAGGTTAGCACATGTTTGGAAGGATGTTCTGAGTTTTAATCTGCTGCTCATCTGTGGAATTTACAATTAAATCAATGAAATATTGATTTCCCATCCTCACCACTCCATTGGCGTCCTGGCTCCGCACTAAATTGGTTTATACATTGGTTTATCTGTCTCCATCTGCACTTGTGGACACCTCAGAATCACCTCAACTTAACTTGGATGAGTTTGGACACAGAAAAAAAATCACCAGCAGGAGGGAGAACGGATGTTCAAGCCCAGAACCATTTTGCTGTGAGGGGACAATGCAAACCTCTGTAACAGCATGTTGCTGATATGCATATACACAGCATATTACATAATTTTTTATATAACTTGAATACCTAGTAGAACTCTAAAATCTAAGAATGAATGCAGTTTCCTTCCAGCAGTTCTCTGTGCCTCCAGTCTTTTTTGTGATTTTTTGCCTCATAATCCTGTTGCTGTCCTCGTATTCATTTCCATTTATGACTTTTTGAAGTAGTTTCGGATTTGACATTTTGCTTGCCCTTTGCCAGAATGATTTGCTTTGCTGTCTCATCAACACATCAGCAAATGACCTTGACTTTTTGGATTAAAGCTTTGGAATCTGGACTTTCACAGTAATTTCCTGTATCCTGCATTTGGGTCCTCTTTCACAGTCTGTCACCTGATTCTGCACTTTAAAATCCATAAGAGAAGTTATGGAAAATATTTTATATTGTTTATCATGCTGATGTCATAGTTTTGAATGAAACTCAAATCCATTTTCAAATACTTTGTTAGAACCGTGCTACTGTGAGGTTATAATTAGGCCCAGCAGTGTTTTTAAAACTTCTAACGTCATCATACTAAGGGTCTGTGAAGACTCATCAAATCACAGTGGACCCAGAAGGGCAAGGGGAACTTGTGGGATTTGTTTCAAATGCAAGCAAGGTCACAATTACGTGATTTTTACCAACTCAAACTGCTTAAGTCTTTAATTAGTTTTGCTGGAAATGTGAATGCTCCCTCATGTATAATTGCTTGACAACCATTATGAACATTTTTAAGGATTACAGCAAGCGTTAACTGTGCAAAAGTGCACCCTGATTTTTGGATTAGATCACACTTTTAGATGTAGCATAGATAATCAAACACTGTCTTTATTAGACAGTTTAAGCATACTAAATTTTGTCTAATTATCGTTACAAATACACAAGTCATAGGTCATACTGTTTCCACTTCCTCTGCAGTCCACTGAATGCTTTCATTTACATGTGATTAAACTTTGATATCTCAATATCTTTCTTTTTTAATCCATTTGCCACCAATGCATGCTTTTAATCTTTTAATTAGATGGTGAGATGTTCACAGCCTCTCAGTACGAGTTTCGCAGCTCTCCAGATATTCGCAGAAACTTTCCATTCCCCACACTCAGGACAGAGGAGGCGCCCACCCGGTGGCTTCTGGGTAAATATAATCATTCATATGTATGTACATAATAGCTGCTGTGAGACGCTAGTTCAAAAAGGATGGTGTCCTTTTTCCAAATATTTCAATTGGGTTTTAAATTGGATTTAACTAAAAGTAGTAGAAAGGCAACATACCAAATGTAATTGTATTGCTTCTTGTGTAGAATTTTTTTCTCTGGATGGACAGAATAGACGAATAGATGTGATGGATAATGTGACTGTGGCGGGGCGTGGCCTGCGGTGCCGTGCAGAGGAGGCGGACGCACCTGTACGGCACCGCAGGCCACGCCATGCCACAGTGACATATCTAGCATACAGTAGTATTGTATCTCATCTTCTTGTAACAGCACTTCAATCCATTTTAAACTACCTCACACCCAAACAAGATCTTGATATTTTTTGTAGATATATTTTTTTCTTTGCATAGTAGAGTTTGAAGTTGCATTTGTGCATGCAGTGGCAGTTTATGTTCATGTTGTTCTGACTGATACTGGTTTTCCGCATATTCAGCTATATTCAGACATTTCACTTTATTTTTTGAGTCTTTTATTGATATTTTATAGTTTACTGATTCCAATATTCATATTGAGAAACATCATTTTTAAGCTATCAAACTATTTGCCGCATACATTACAGTCGAAACTTCTTCCTCATTTCTATTCTGAATGAGTCAGCCTCTTTTCCTGCTTTAAAAAACTCCCATCAAGTTAGCAATGAATGTAATCAGTTGTATAATCGCAGTTGTGGCTTTAATTTTGTTTTTTTAGTATTGCATAACTTTTCTTCTTTTTAGTGTTCAAAAATAAAATAAACAATAACAACAATAAAACATTTTATTTATAGTTGCTTTCAAGACACTCAAGGACACCTTACAAGCAATTAAATTGCAAATTGTTTATTTATTATCTGCATTTCATACAGCATTCCTGTGTTTTGGGTAGTGGGGTTGCAGTTCCTCTTTCAGTAGAATATTAATAGACCAAACCTCATTGCTATGTTGCACATTTTTATTACATCAGATGTTTTTTTGTCATAAAAAAACAACAGATTCACTTGTAGAATAAAAATCACAAGGAAAAAAATTGCACCGCATTGCAGCTCTAACTGACTTGGTTGTGGTGGTTCAATCATACTTAAAGGCTCCATCTTTAGTTTCCAAGGAGACACTTTCTAGGCTGCTAATAGGTTTCTTTTTGGACATGTGGATGTGTGCGTGTGATGTGTTTGTGTTTGTGTGCACAGAGGCAAATTTCGTGGGCTCTGTGCTGCTGAAGGAGAGCATCAACAGCTCTATCGGTGATGATGACAAGATTTACTTCTTCTTCACTGAGAGAAGCCAGGAGCAGATTGCCTACCCGAGCCAGACCAAGGTGTCCAGGGTCGCCAGAGTATGCAAGGTCAGAAAGACCAGTTAACCCAAACACTGCTATCTATAATCGCATTAATGCTTTCACTGGGTTTGAAACGGCTTTACAAGTGCCTGCAAGGTCACAGAAAGAAAGGGTTGAAACAAGGGAGGGTAAAAGTTACCAATCATTCAAAGTGAAAATTGGTGGGATTATTGAATGGTTTTTGTCAGTTGCACAGAATGAATGTAAATGGATTTCAGAGGACGTTCTTGTTTCTCAATGAGCTGCCACGCTCCTCTCGCTGTAATATCAATGCTAAATCAGCCAGCAGTTGGCCGTCTCTAATCACAGTTTCTTCACTGACAGAGGTTCTCTCTCTGTGCCACTGTTGCCAGGCAAAGTACAAGTCCACAAACCTCCACCTCCAATGGCAAACCCTCCCCCTTACTTTATTGCCATATCCCCATCTTCAACTCCGCCTTCTCCTGCTCTTCTTCCTCTACTTCCCATCTCACCTCATTTCACTTGCTGTCAGCATTCCCAGTCTAGACAGCATGCCCAGCAACCATTCCTAGAGGTTACTCTTGCTCCTTTTCCTCCCGCTTGTCATTTATTTTAGCCATTCATGGGGGTATAATTACCATCACGGTGTGCTTTTGTAGGCATCAAAAGAGTAAGTCAATGACTCAGCTGGTGAAATGAAGCAGTTGTGTTTCACTTTTTGTGATCCTGTGAAAAGGATTTAAGTGAATGAATGAGAGAACACTAACAGGAAAACCTACTGAGCAGGACATTTTTCAAAGATTTTGACATGGTGTGAATTCTCTGTTATGTACTTGTAGAGTTTTGTTTCCTTTTTTTAATATATCATTTACTAATGTTCATACTTTCATTATTATTTCTCTTTAGCTTTTTTTTCTCTAAGTTGTGCTTCCTTGTCTCCTCTGTCCTACGTCATCTTAGTTTCAATTCCTAAAATGCAACAGGAGGAGAGAGGACAGAAGGAAAGAAGTGGTTTGCCAGAAGAGCTGTACTTGATGATGCACAGGTTTATAGAGGAATATGCTGGAAAATATACAGTAAATAATCGCTGGAAGATGATATTATAAAATACAGCAGTAGTTTATTGTTTTGTTTGTGCATAACAAAATAATTTATGGTGCAGCTGTGCCACACGTCATTTTGACCTTGTGCTGCTGTTAGTTTTATAATAATGTTTCTAAGCTTATCTTGGGAAGATGTTATTGTGGACACTGACATGAATGCAATGTGGCTTCAAAGAGAAGCCAAAAGCCAAAGTAATGGCTCTAAGGGGAATCCAAATTTTTAATCAAAAGAGGAAATAAGCAGCCAGTGAAACACACAATAGAGCACAGTACAACTATAAGGAACTCTGGAAAGCTTGATAAACAAGATTATTTGAGTGTACTACAGAGCAAGCTATGTTGAGCATAAAGTCAGAATTTTTTATGTCACAAAATTGGCTGTCTTTTTATGTGGTTAAATCACCATGGTAACATGTGCTGAACGCATAACCTGGTTGGGAGGAGGCTATGGTCAGTTTCAGCTTAAAATAGGTTTTCCGTGAATTTTTAAATTACATTTGTTAAACCTACTATAGATTCTCTGCTGGGTGAATAGAATAGAATAGAATAGAATAATCCTTTAATTGTCCCACAAGGGGAAATTTGGTTGTATCAGCAGCAAAAAACACACATATACAAAAAGAACAGGACACAGAAAACAAACAAAAACATGAATGTGTCATGTATGTCCAAGTTTTTAAGCAATATATTACTGACATCATGAGTTAAGTAAAAACTGTCGTACTTGACTCTACTCTGCTGTTAAGTCTGTTTTGCACTGTCTTATTTCCATCAGTATTGCATTTTACTGTTACAACTTTTATGTTCCTTTTTGTTCTTTATAAACATTTATCACCATTTTATTATCAACGCTTTCATCTGATAACGTGTCTGATTGGTGTAGGTGTCACTCATGGGGATCATGTTGTGCTGAGGAGTCAATATGATGTGTGAAACGCTCCTTTTTATGTGAGCGTGCACAGAGCCAGGCAGAAAGCCCAGCTTAACACAGAATGTTGATAACTGCCATTGTCACACCCCTTATCCCTGACTGGGGTTTTAGGATTTGTCAAGCCTGCTAATACAAAGTAAGCATGGCTATGTTGAACTTCCTTCATGGTTCCCAGGCAAGTTGCAAAGGGGGGTGAGTGCTTAGCAGACTGGACTCAGAAGAGTGATTAGGGAATAAGTAACAGGGATGGAACATACATGCATTTAGGGTAAATGGCATTTATTTGACATTGATGTGTCAAGTTTTAATTGTGTGACAGCAATGGCACAGTTAATGGTGTAGAGAAAATGACTAATAGTGCTTAAAAGTGCCAATTTTTTAATTCATTTTTCATATAGGCTCATAGTCCACATTAAATTCCCTTAATAGAGAGTAATAAATGATCTGGCTCTCTGTGTGTTGGCCCTGTGATGGACTGGCATCACAGCGTCCGGGATGTATGCTGTTTCTCACACCATGAAAGCTGGGAAAAGTTCCAGCCCCCTTTGACTACTAAGTTAGATGAATGGTTGAAAAAATAGAGATAAATGGGTGGATGCGGGGTGAGTGAATGATTACCGGTGTCCATGTAATTTTATTCATACAATACAAACAGCAGCAGCATGAGTTTGTTGCTTTTCAATTATGTATACAGTACACAGATAGTCTGGACACTATTTTCACTGTAAGAGTTCATTGAAAAAAAAGCCTCATGCTTTGGATCTTTTAGTATGAAAAACAGATTGCTAAAGGTTTAAACACCCAGTATTGATTTTACATCGCTGTCTGCTGTTGGTCTTTTCCCTAAGTGTCTCTGCTGCTTTGCTGAAAAAACACATTATTTTATTTCCATTAAAATGATTCTCAAGGACCTCTGTTGAGGATATTTCTCTCTCTTTTTGTCCTGTTTCCACTGGCATTGGATAATAAAGTTGTAAAATACCCCAATACCCCTGTGTTGCAAGCTTTTGTCCCAAAAGCTCATTAAACAAATGCAGGGAGCTCATTTTTGAGCATTTCTTGCTCTCTTACTTTTCAAACCCATATACACACTCACTGTGTCTTGTCTTCATTCTCACAGCATTCGAAAGTAGTCATTTCTGGAAATAAGGTCTGGGCTCTTCCTCTCCCTTCACCAGCACTGTGGAGTTGTCAGAGCAGTCGAGTGTAATAACTCAGTCTGAACTAGGCCACGGCAGCACATGCAGATGTCGAGTGGTCCCCAGCTCAGCCCCCATGGCGGCCAGGCACCACGCTGGTTGATGGCAGATCCACAGATAGTGACGGCTCTGGCAGTAGCCCCTGGCCTGAAACCACTGACGACTTGCCATTTTTGAGTTGCCTAGCCGGTTGTCCTCTTCTGCTTCTCACTTCCCAGCCAGACAGCTTCTACTTCCTTGCCAGTCATGCCCTACTTTAACAAAAGAAGAGACATGATGACATGAAAACAAAACCATTGCAAAAAGCAGAAATAGGTGCCAGTTGACATTATTTAACATTTTTCTTGCTATACATCTCCAGTAAAGAGAATGGTGCTGTAGTTTTAAGTTGTTGTTGTTGTTTTTCTCAGTTGTATTTTGAGAATACACTGCAGCACAGGCTCATCTAGGGTTAATTCCCCCTCTGGTATATCTTCTATGCTTGGATTCTTCACTATTACTGCCTTAAATTTACCTCATGACAGCCCAGTGACCCTGACTGTGCGTTGATTGACAGAGACTGTAATCTGCCATTGCATCCCTTTAGCTCTTCCCACAGTAATAACCTGCTATCATCTCTGTAAGAAATGCTTATTTGTTGCTTTCAAGTCTCTACAGATTTCCTTCTGTCAAATGAATGAAATTTAAAGATTGGATTCATCTGTCTGCACTCCTTTTCGTCTCTTCTTTCATTCGTCTTGTGCCATAAATTGAATTGGTATTATTGACAGAACTGCTCCTAAGGTTTTAAGTGTATATCTTATGTTGATTTACTTTGGCTTTCTTGTGTGGGAGGCCAATGCAGGCAGAGGCTTTTGATGAACAACAGATGTCCCCTAAAGCCACAAATAAAGAAAGATGAGAACCTCTAATACAGACAAACAAAGAAAAAATCGAATCCATCTCTTTTTTCATCTTATCTAAATGAGGTGTGCCAAATTACTCTTTTAGGGAGAAAAATGTCTTACAGCCTTACCTCCCACTGCTTCTGAAATGCAATCAGAGAAATGTGCTACACTAGGGACACTGAGTTTGAATACCAACATTCAGCTCCTCCCTATATATTAATTATATCTGCATAATCTCAATTGGATCTAATCTTTTCTTATATAAATGCACTGTTTGTGCATCACCCGCATCATTAAAATCATTGTGTTGTTTATCTTTACATCAATTAATTCCACCTCTGTCTCCTCTCTCTGCAGACTGACTGGGGAGGCCAGAGGACTTTGCAGAGGAAGTGGACCTCGTTCCTCAAGGCTAGAATGGTGTGCTCAGTCCCAGAGTATGAGCTGCACCTCAATATCCTGCGTGACGTGTTCGTCCTGCAGGAGCGAGACGCTCGCAGCAGCATTTTTTATGGTATCTTTGGTCTGGAATGGTAAGAGCAGATTTTGACTCATTTATGCTCTACAAACATGTAGTTTGTTTGGGTTTTTTTTTTGCATGAAAGAATATTGTGATGTATTAGATCAAACTAGAAACTAGTGATTAAGATAATTAATTCATGTATGTATGCTTGTTTCTATAAAAAACAAAACATTTTTTGTAATCTATAAATTAAAACTTCAAGTTATTATCAAATATCAACTTACAAACCCAAACATCTGAGAACATTTGTAGAATTCATGCAAAGATCCAAACTTTGAGAACAATTTTCAGAATATTTCTTGGTATAGCAAGAAGCATCAACTTCCTGAAAATAACTACTGAGAGCCAAACTCAAAGCCCTCAGCACCCATTGCATATGGGCAGCAAACAATTTTATGGCTTTGAACCATAGATGGATGTCTGAGAAGTGAAGTGACGAAGAGTGAAAAATGAATCTGCAAACTTTTTAATGGTTACCAAGGGCGCAGCTTCTCTAAGAAGTCTATGAGAAAATGTCCAGTCTTTGCTGTTAGTGTGGCCTCAGTAGACTGTTTTGTGAGAAGTCTACAGTCTCAGCTGCCCAATTCCAATCCATATTATATGCAACATGGTATTTAATTGGTGCATTATGGTCCCAATATTACTGTAAACTAAAAAAAAGATCATCTGTCACTGTCTTTAGTTTTCTGTCAGATCTTGTATACACCTGGCAATAGCCAGAATATTTAACTTTTCTAATATTTGGTGTGACTGTGTCATTATATCTAATCAATGGTTGAGAAAAGGAACTTACTTAATTTTCCAGTATTTTTAAACCAAGCAAAAGTCTTGAACAAGAAATAGTTTCCCCAGCCTGCTTTTTTTTGTGTGCGGGGCTGTCACTGACATGTATTAGCTTAATGAGGTACTGTAATTGAGCTGGTCAATAATGCACATAGTTAAAACTTTTAACAATCACTCAGTGGGATAAGATGGTCAGATTTAAACATCCTTTGTTTAGGACCATTTCAGGAGCTCGAGTCCAGTGAGCTGAAGCTTTAAAAATAAGGTTAAATGTAATGGAATATAGTGCAGTGTGTGTAGGAGGGGATCCCATAAATCTGAACGCTTATCTGCATTTCTCCTCTCTGAACTCAGTCAAGTAGTTTTAAAGTGGAATGTGCAGCATGTGAAAACAGAATATATCTGCAGTCAAACACTGTTTGCTCAGTGGTTTTCCTTTTTTCCGATGGCTTAATTATACAAACTTTTTTGTTTTCTGTTTATTTTGTTGTTTCTGAGCTACTTAGGTTTTACATTAAAAAAAGGTTTTAATGAATAACCTGCCAGCCTCTGAGTATCACACTAATTTACAATTTAAACACTCATTTAAACATTCAGCTCTGAAAAAAAAATCTATTTGGAAGCAGAAAGTGAACAGATGTGAGTGTATAAAACTTGGGACTGTGCCAGTGTGTCCGCCTGTGCTTGGATGGCCAAAACTGTGTGGACACTACACTCAATAATGACCGTTATCCTGTTACTATAAGAGGTAATGCAGCCTAGCCGAGGGCACAATCTCCTAATCAGACACAAGAGATTTAGTGAGGACCAGGACTCATGTCGTGGGATAAAGTCAAACTCGCACCTTTGGGATGTTTAAGTTCATTCTAAAGATTTTGCATGAGGTTGTCAGAGCTCTGAGCAAACCATCCAAGTTCTTTTATTCCAAAAGGGGAAAATTATTTCTTTATTGCATTGTGTTGCATCAAGACGTAAAAAACAGAGAAACAAGAATGTGATATTCAGCTGGAAGTAAATGTGATGTTAATTCCTCTTTTGAGAGACCACGAGATCTATTTTATTCAGATGATGAACAAAACGATGTTTCTTCCCCAAACATGTAATTCAGAGATTAACTAATCAACCAATAATCCTTTAACACGACTCAATTAAGTCATTAAATTAAGTAAAACTGCTTGTGGTTTGTGCTTCTCTGTTTGGGGTATTTGCTGCTTTTCCCTGTGTTATGTCGTCGCATACTAAATATTGTTGGATTTTACACTGGCTGTCAGACAAATCCAGCCATTTCAAGATATCTTTTGGTGCTCTGGATCTTTTCTCTACATTCTGACACCGTCAAGATTAGATGATTGATCATAGAAGTAATCGGCAGATTAACTGATAATGAGAAAAAAGTCATTCTTTCAAATCCTAGGTGAGTTCTTATCAACAGAAAGCCAAGCTGCGGTGAGAGCTGATGTGTGTGTGCGTGGGTGTGTGTGTGAAGATGACGACTGCCAATGGAAAATGTGATGTGATCTGAGTGTGTGTTTATGCTGATATGCAGAGTCATGCTGCATAAAACTGTCCCAGGGGTGTTTAGATTCTGATGGTGAGGATAGCATTGCAATGAGACATCTATTATCTATTTCTCCTTTGCTTCTTTCCATTTTTCCACTGCTGTAGTTTAGTGGATATCAGTGTGTGTCCTCTCATTCACTGCAGGACTGCAGTTCATTCTTTCCGTCTTTCTTGCCCTTCATTTCTTTTGTCTTTTTTTTTCCACTTTTGATCACTTTCTTTCGTTCTTTCTTTATTGCTAACTTCCTTTCTTTTTTGTCTTTTGGTGGCTTTTGGGCCGGCGCAGTGGTTGCCTCAATGTAAAAAGGTATTGGATTCAAATCCCCCATCTGGCCGGGTTCTTTCTGTCTGTCTATTTCTTTCTCCTGCAGTCCAAAGACATGCAGTTAGTGGGGATGGCTTAGTTGTTGTGAATGGTGTGTGTGTCTCTGCATTAGCTCTGACTAGACTGGAGACCTATCCAGGGTGTACCTTGCCTCTCGCCCTATGATAGCTGGAATAGGTTCCATCTGCCTGACAACCCTGAATAGGATAAACAGAAGATTGATGTCTAGTTTCTTTCTTCATTGGTTGCCAGCTTTGTTTCTTGGTTGTTGCTTTCATGTTTTTATCTCTCTGTCTTGATTACTCTAGCTTTCCATCTTTTGTGGTTTGCAGTTTTCTAGGTGTCCTATTTAGTTGTTGGCTTTCTTACTTTTTTCTTTTTTGGTTGCGTTCATTCTGTTCTCTTACGTTCTGTTTTGTCTTTTGTTGCTTTTAATTTCTTTCTTTTGGCCATGTCCACTCTAATACGTTGAAAACGCATCTTTTTCTCTCCGCTTTGGCCTTCTGTCCACACTGAGACATTTTTGGTCAAAGAAAACTGAGCTTTTTGAAAACGCTTTCCAAAGTGGATAGATTTGAAAACGCCATTTTCGCGTCGCAGTGTAGACAGCGAACCCGGAGCCTTTTTGAAAACGATGGCACATTTTAGTCATGTGACCAATTAAACTAAGATAGCGGAGGGCATTACACAGCAGTTGTTTTGTTTGCTCTCAATTTTGACTGCCCTATTAAAGATTAATATCAGTTTGTACCTGCTCCAGATAGCTTTTCTTCAAATTCTTTAAGTCTCACTCGCTTTTGCAACATTGTACTTTTGTGTTACTCGCAGCAACAGCTCCACCTCATTGTCAGTCCATTTAAAAAACTCGGTTCTTTTCCTCAAAATTTTGACGCGACGTTTCAAAGAGCTGGAAAGTAAATAAACGACAGACAGAAATGAGGCTAGTTGATACGCATGCGCAGTACTGGAACGTAAGGGTTTTTGGCTGTTTCAATGTGGACGCACAACTCTGTGAAAACGCATGAAAACAATAGTGTGGACGCGGAGCATTTTCAGACGTATATGCCATTTTCAAATTTATCCGGGCTAGTGTAGACATTGCCTTTCTTTCTTTCTTTCTTTCTTTCTTTCTTTCTTTCTTTCTTTCTTTCTTTCTTTCTTTCTTTCTTTCTTTCTTTCTTTCTTGCTTTCTTGGTTTCTTTCTTTCTTTCTTTCTTTCTTGCTTTCTTTCTTTCTTTCTTTCTTTCTTGCTTTCTTGCTTGCTTGCTTGCTTGCTTGCTTTGTTATTACACATGTGTGAGTAGTAGTCATCACTATGCATCAGACTCACATGTGTAAGAATGACTAATCCCCTGAGGTGTACTTCCTGGTAGTTTCAAGACACATTCTGGTCTCAGTTCGCTCTTATTTTCCTCACTTTGATGCTTTTGAAGACTCTGATGACTACACAATGGCCTAAAGAGTGTGACAAAGACATTTTCCATCCATTACTAATCTCACCTTTAGGGCTCAAGGTTAAGGTTTACCATGCAACTAATCAACTAATCACTCATACTGTTGGACAAAGTCTTTTTCTTCTTCTTTTTCCTCACAGCTGCAGGACCAAAACCACAAATAGGTTGTTTTATTTATGACTCACAAGGAGTGGGTATTTTTGCACTGTATGCTAGTGTTGAAAACGCATCCCTCTGGAAGAGATAAAGGGGTAAAATTACACACCTGTCAGTGACGTCACTCCCACATGCCAATGTGAAAAGGAAAAAACCCACCATAATACCCACAGTTTTCATAGAATAAAGAGTCAGCTAGTTAACCTTTTGCCTGTCAGTGAGGCCTGATGATCTGTGATGCTTCTGAAATTCAATCCAGCCGTTTTTCAGCTTTGAGTCATTAATCCTGAGTGTGTCCCCTGGACATGTCTTTGGGGTGTTGGGGATTGTATTACAGGAAGAATATCAAAGCGTCTGCTATCTGCCAGTACGCCTTCTCAGATGTGCAGAAAGTTTTCGAAGGGCCGTACATGGAGGTGCAAGACTCAAAATGGAGGGAGTACACAGGAAAAGTCCCAGATCCAAGACCCGGCTCTGTAAGTTTTAAAGCATTAACCTTCTCTCCACCATCATCAGTGATTGTTATGTTCTGTATTTTTAGTCATTTTTTCTGTCTGTATCTTCAGTGTATAACAGATCTGCACAGGTCCCAGAACATCAATTCGTCTCGAGATCTCCCAGACAATGTCCTCACCTTCGCCAGAAGGCACCCGCTGATGGCCAAACAGGTGCACCCAATAGGTGTGCGCCCCCTCATGTTCAAAAGAAGTGTCAACTATGTCAAGATAGCAGTGCACAAAGAGCCGGCACTGGATGGAAATATTTACACTGTTCTGTTTTTGGGAACTGGTGAGTTTCATACAAGAAATCCAATGAAATGACCAAATAAACACCATATCTGCATTTAGCAGTGCCATGAAATAACAATACACCGCATTCCAAATTATTATGCAAATTGTGTTTAAGTGTCATAAAGATTAAATAAGTTGTTTTTCAATTAAACCCATGGATGGAATAAAGATAAAGATAAAGGCCCCAGGGCAGCTGTGGCTACAACTGTAGCTTGCCTTCACCAGTGTATGAATGTGAAAGTGAATGAATAGTGGTATTGTAAAGCGCTTTGAGGGGTCCGGAAAAGCGCTATATAAATGCAATCCATTATTATTATTATTATTATGAAGGTTTCCGCCAGACAAATACATCAGATTAAGAGAGCAGCTGCTAAAAGGCCATTACAAAGCAGCAAACACATATTTGAAGCTGCTGGTGCCTGTGGAGCCCGGCGAACATCAAGGTGTAGGATCCTCCAGAGATTTGCAGTTGTGCATAAACCTTCTATTCGGCCACCCCTAACCAATGCTCACAAGCAGAAACGGCTGTGGTGGGCCCAGAACTCATGAAGACTAATTTTCAAACAGTCTTGTTCACTGATGAATGCAGTGGTGGATGCAGTGGTGGATGGTTGGTGGACGGCCACCATATCCCAACAAGGCTGCATCGTCAGCAAGGAGGTGGTGGAGTCATGTTTTGAGCCAGTATGTGGAGTTTCTGACTGACCGCTTTCTTCCATGGTAGAAAGAGAAGAACTGTGCCTTCTGCAACACAACCATCTTCATGCAAGACAATGCACCATCTCATGCTACAAGGAATACCTCTGCATCATTGGCTGCTATCTGTGTAAAAGGAGAGGAACTCATGGTGAAATAGTGGTGGAACTAGAAATGGAGACTATAAAGCAATCAGCATAGCGTTTACCGAGGTATTAAATCAAGTGAAAACTAGGGTCAATCTTTTTATTATCAGTGGATTTTGCCCCTGCTAGTCTTTAGAAAGAATTGTCACTAGCATGAGTTTCAGACTGAGTGGCTACATCAGTCTTGTTCATACAATCAGCATTTTGTTATATTCACATCTCAGTTTAACTCAACAAGGTTTTCTCTGTTGTTGCAGATGACGGCTGGCTGCATAGAGCTGTGGACATCGATGGAGAAATGCATATCATAGAAGAGCTGCAGCTGTTTGATGAACCACAGCCCATAGAGAGCCTGGTCATCTCCTCAGCTCTGGTAGGTTTAAATATATCTACAGTAAAACTGTACGTTAACAGAATAAGGATTTATATGTAAATGAAAATGAGCAACCTTTGCGCCTAAATCCCTGTCATACCCCAAAAAGGTTGTGGAACTCTTCCCTTCTCCACCGATTAATAACTGATGATTAAAGAACAAATACACTGTCTATACTGAAGGGCATTACAATATTTAACATGAGGAAAAAATCTTCCAAATATGCTCCTGTTTTACAGAGGAGTGTCTATGTTGGGTCGCACTCTGGAGTCGTGCAGGTACCGATGTCAGCCTGCAAGAGGTACACTTCCTGTTATGACTGTGTGTTCGCCAGAGACCCCTTCTGCGGCTGGGATGGGAAAGTGTGTGTGGAAATATCTTCACGTGCACAAAAGTAAGGGCACATGCACTCAAAAAAAAGAATATTTCCAGTAAGGACACAGACTCAATGTATTTTAGTGTCACACACATGCATAATTACACAATGCATGCAAAAAAAAAAAAGGGGTTACAGAGATCTGGCAGAAAACAAACAAGATACATTTGCTTTGCTCTTCCATAGATCCTGAATCTATACTTCCCTAAACCTTCTCCACAGTTCCACCTGCTCTGTAGTCTCCGATTTTTCCTACTTATTTTGTCATATTCTGTTAACTCTATATCTATTTTTTTACATGAGCTGAAAAATTGAGCATAAAATGTACTTTTTATTTAGATTTTATTAATTTTTTTCTAATGTAACTGTTAAATAATGTGAACTGCTCATAACTGATGGCATGTTGATTTAACATAGCATTACCATCAAGCCCTCTGGAAAAATTACAGGAGATTAGGGAGAGGTGATTAAGATGATTAACTTTTTGTGCTGTACATTTTTGCATTACATGACCTTTTTTAGCTTATGTTTATTTCTTCCTTCTGGGCCAAACAATACCAGAGCACAGTTAATTATTTATACAGCTTCTGTATCCCTCCAACAAATTTTCTATGAAAGCAGGTCTAAGACAATGTAGTTGACCTGGATTTTTCTCATCAGCTCTGTTCAGCTCAGCAGGAGCTTCGCACATAATGGGAAGTTTTGAATTTCAAGTACGCACACACACAAAAAAAGCCCCCACCCATTTGGATATGATTTCAATCTTTATGTCTCATGTAGCTCTGCATGTAGAACGGAAAAACAAACAGGGTGGAAGTGAGTGAAATTGTGTCTTTCCTCTTTCAGTAACATTTTACTTTACATATCGCCGTCTGAAATATTTACATGAGAGAAACTGGTACAACTGGTACAACACAATAATTAAAACTTTGAGAGTATTTTGTCAATATTAAATAAATGCTAACGTACACTTACCAAACCTTTATGAGGAACACCTTGTTAGTACCATTTGGACCCCGTTTGCATTCAGAGCTGCCTTAACTCTCCGTGGGATATATGCCAATAAAATATCCCCCACATTACACCACCAGCAGCCTGAGCTGTTGATATAAGGCAGAATGAATGTGTGCCTTCATGTTCTTTACGCCAAACTCTGATCCTATGAGTTCTAGTCGTTTTCTATTCTTAGCTATCAGGAGTAGCACCTGGCATGGTCTTCTGTTGCTGTAGCCCGACTACTTTAAGGTTTAACGAGTTGTGCATTAGATACTCTTCCACATTCCTTAATCGTAATGAGTGATTATTTGAGTTACTCTTGTTATCCTGTCAGCTTGAAGAAGTCTGGTTATTCTCTTTTAACCTTTGACTTGAACAAGGAATTTTCTCCCAGAAAATATTTTCTCTTTTTTGGCTCATTCTCTGTAAACTCTAGGGATGTTTGTGTGGGAAAATCCCTGTAGATCACCAGTTTTTGAAGTACTCAGACCATCCAACCTGGCACCAACAACCATGCAACATTCAATGTGCCTTAAATGAGCTTTCTTCCCCATTCCCATGCCCAGTTTGAACTTTAGCAGGTCAACTTGACCGTGTCCACAGGCTTAAATGTGGTGCATTGCTGCCACTTTACTGGAGATGGAGCTAATACTGTATGATATCACTAATCAGTTTTACAGGACTGTCAAACCATCCAGGTGTATCCTATCTGTTGCCCAGCATCAGGTGTAATAGGCTTCAGGACATGCAGGTCTATGCAAAAATTGCTAAGTTAGATTCCTCCTTTGTTTACTAGGAGCTTACCTGGATTTTGTAAATTAATTCCAGTGGAAAAAAAACTGCACGTGGTACATGACAGTAAACAGGCATGCTTGTGTTCACTCTTTGCACTGGGGACTGTTTGTGCCTCTCTTCATTAACTCTGCATGACTGAGTAGCAGACATCTTAATCTCCATTACTGCAGCAGACACTTCGGCCCTCCCCGTGGATTTGTTTTATACTTTGGCTGCTGCATCACATCCAAAGAAAGTAGCAAAAAGATTTGGATGGTAATGCTTCCTTCTTAAAGCTTATTAAGTTACAATATCCATATTAATTCTTTGAAAAACATTTTGTTATAGTAATCCTTCTATAAAGGAGGAGATGGGGAATTTATCCCTAGTACTAATCCACAGTGGGCTGCATAAAAAAAGCATTTAGGTATCCTCCTCTTATTGCTGGGAACCCAAGCTATCTCAAGTTTATTTCTTTTTATGATATTAAGGCTTTGCTGCAGAAATGGCTCAATATTTGCAGCTTTCAGGTAGTTTTGTGTCGAAATCTTGATTGGAGAAATCTTCTTTATGATATGGCAATCACGTTTCTGTTTATCACAGTTTTGCTGCATTTTTATACCTAGCTGTTATTTATGCTCTCAGAAGACACTCGCTTTTTACTCTAACGCTTATCTCTTAGTTTAATGAAGGTTAAATGCAAATTTTTCCTAATTACTATTGCAGGTCGAACCTAACCCAGGATATCTTGAGAGGGGTCAGGGGCTGCAAGGAGAATTCAGGAAATGGTACGTGTTGCTTCACACATTCACGTGCACTTCATTTCTACACTGTAAATCCATTATACCACAGCGTCTTTGTTCATTTTTAAAAAAGGTTAGTTCTTCATTTTACCTTACCATCCTTCCCACTTGATAAGTTTTTCTGACTCTCTCACAGATGATGGGGTTAAAAAATCTTCCTTCCATCTTCCTTCTCTGCCAGAAAACTAAAGCTTTTAGTATCTATTAAGGGATTTTATTAGGTGTATGTTCCCTACCCATCCCCCAGGTCCCAGCTTACACATTTTAATCAGTTCCTCTCTTGCTGGAGGTCAGACGGGCCTGCTGGCTGCACTGCAGAGCTCGCTACATTTAAAGCAGCTTATGAAATGTGATGGAAAGCGATGCTGGTGCTGTACACGTTGCTCACCTTCAGTTTTAAATTGTAACCTTGGTGACCCGACATCTTGTATATTCATTGCTCTGTCTTCCTGCATTTGTGTCACACTGTTTCTCACGTTCTTCATCCACTAGTCTTCTTCTGTCTTTTTCACTTCACTTTTCTTTTTAACTCCATCTCATGTCTCTTGTCCTCTTGTTTTTATCCTCAGTGGTCCATCGGAGGCGTTCTGTGATGTCGGGTGACGACGTGCTACTCCAGTGTGAACTACGCTCCAACCTGGCAACTCCACGCTGGACACTAAACGGCAGGGAGCTCCAGGGATACGACCTCAATTCGGGCTATCGGATCGGCACAGATGGCCTCCTGATAATCGGAGCTCGCACCCAGCAGAGCGGCATTTACCGCTGCTTTGCTCTCGAGAACTCAGTCTCAGTTCTGGTCTATCTCTACACAGTAAGGGTTCACACAGAGCCGTACTTCCCTGTGGAACCCACAGCCACTACTAACCCCACTACAATTTCCAGCCCGACTGTTTTCTCTACCGGCAGCCCCACTGAGCAGCCCTTGCCCTCGCCTCCTGCCCCACTTCCTTCAAGACCTGAGTTTCAGACCTACAGACACATGGAGGCCGTGTACATCTCTCTGGTGGCGGTTCTCGGTGGGCTTTGCTTGGTGTTGACTGTGGTCCTTCTTTATGTAAGCTTCTGCACTAGACGAGCCTCTCAGGATCGGAAGTTCTCCCAGCAAGGTCTCCAAGTCCTAGGTGCCTCTGAGAGAAAAAGGAGCTCCCACCTTGAACTTAAAACCATCTCAAGCCACTGCAATGGCCGTCAGGGTCGTCGGTCCATCTCAGTGCCGAGCTTTGGGGACCTAGGTGATGGCTTCCTCCAGATAGTGCCAGGTGAAGGCCAGATGTCTCCAGCTAAAACACCTCCTCCGGCTCCTCCTCTTCCCATGCCACCCCCGCTTCCCAACATGGACTATGCCAACGGGCTCTCGGCCACTCTGCCCAGCGTGCTGAGGAAGATGAACGGAAACAGCTACGTGCTGCTGAGGCAGGCCGACCCTGACGGTATGTCCCCGCTCTACCATTCCTTCACAGAGGAGCTCAACAGGATCCTGGAGAAAAGGAAACACACACAACTGGACTTGCAACCCGATGAGAGTTCCATCTAGGACACCCCTCTTATGCTTCATCCCACTGTTATTTATTTTTACCCTAGAGGTGATCCGTACTTGTGGGGAAAAATGACTATTTTATGAAGTGCTGCTCTTAATTGCACAGAGTACCTGCAGGTCATGTCATAACTTGGTCAGAAATATTCAGCCTGTTGTGTCTTCGGTGACAAATGGCCCAGGATTTCACTAATCAGAGACTGCTAAAATGTGGAGCTGTGAAAAATTGCTACAACCAAGGAGCTTAAAGATGATACCTAAAGTGCAGACTCTCTGGAAGTTTCTGAAAGATGGCAGTCAGATGACAAAAAAGCCAATGTTACAAAATAGGACATGGATACAAAAACTAAATTAGGCCAGGAGGTGATCAAGCATTTCCGAGACTGTGGAGAGATTCAAGAAGTTTTATAACCATGTAATATTAGGTATCTGTGGAGCTTAAAGTCATAGTTCATCCAAACATGCTAAGCATTAGGCTATTTTGTATAAATAAATTAAAAACATGGCCTAAGAACAGTAGCACCTAATGTGCTTACAGCTTTACCACCCAGTCCTGTGTATGAAGATGCACCTTTTTGTTGCTTGTGACTGTGTTTGTGGACTGGTATCATCACAAACTGCACAGTGAGCCTTTCTATGAGGCAGATGGTAAAAGAAGCTTTTTCAAGTGGCTTTTTTGAGAAGTCCTAAAAACATATTGATGAGGAAGATTACAAAACGGCAAATGAAACAATCCATGCTCTTAGGATGAACAAGGTCATCACGGCTTAAGTAAGGAGGCATCCATGCCCCCTCTCGTCTTTTTTTAATTTTTATAAATGCACTAACCTACCAAACTAAAGACTAATAAAAGACCTATGTGGTGTGAAGGTAAAGTTCTGTGTATGCCCAGCAAAATAAAAAGCTACAAGAGATTTAAATTTGACCAATCTCTCCTTCAAGAATATCGCTTTAGGAAGCATTACGGCACTTTGAATGTGGCTGTTACTTTTAGGTTGCTGCTTGGAAGTCCCATTAAACCCTCTTGCAGCTCTGGTTCTGTGATGTGTGTTGTCGAAACTGGAACCGATCATCTTGGATTTTTTTAGGAGAAGAGGATAATGTCAGAGGCAATCAAATCTGGCATGTGTGGCAGGTGTTTAGCACGGATTTTGTTGCTGTGGCTAAAAAAAAAGATTTTCTATAGCCTGTTTAGATGGTTCATACCAGATGTCATCTCTCACATGCTTCAGGAGGTTAAAGTAAATATCAGTGTTGGAAAACGCTCCCTGAGAAATGACTAAACATTGAAAAACCCCACAAATGTCTCGTGGCAGCACCACCTTTGTGCTTGGACACTGTGGACTCTTCCAGCGAAAGCTACTCTTTGGATTCTGGATGTAACCAAAGACCAAGTTTGCATCAACAGTAATCAGCTGGATCACACAGCAGCTGATGTTTGCTGCTCTGTGAAATTCTAGATACAAAAGTGCAAGCGTTCATAACGGGACTTTTGGAGGAGCGTGCTAAAAATAGCTACCCTGGAAGTGATCCAGATGTGCACAACAAGATGACCTTGAAGGGGAGATTAGCCTAATTAAATCAGGTATAAATTTAGATTTATATTGATTGAGATGAGCAGCAAGCCTTGTATATTTTTAAACTGCCTTGAATGGAGGTAGAGTATTAATCCATATTTTCACAAAATTAATTGTTTGTGTGAAATATTGAGCATATGGAAAAATGAGTGAAAGCTGAGCACACAAAGCTCCAGGAATGGGTTTTGAGTGGCTTGTCATGTTTCAAACCACTTTTTCTATGATGCATGTCCTTTGCAGAGATGTAACGAATGATTATTTTCCTATGATTTCTCACTTTAGGATCTGAAAGCTGTGAATGTTTGGCATTTTTGCTCGATAAACAACATTTATCTTCTCTGTTAAGCCATCGGCCACAATCATTGTAATAACTAAAATGTTGACTTTAGTAAAAGTATCACTTTAAGAATCCAGTTTTGATACAGCACACTAGATCACAGATTTTAAGACAAGTCTTACATTTTAGTGTATTTATTTAAGCCACTTTCCCCCCTTGATTTTTCCTCATGTAAATAGCAATAAATATACACCACTGTTGCAACCGTTAGTAGCATAGTGTGCTGTGCCAGTGCCAATGGAAAAACCTGTAGCAAACTTGGAACTATTTTTTTCCCTGTAGTATTTCTATTTTTAGCCTCTCTGTGGGAAAAGAGATAAAACTTTATGAAAGTAAACATGCAGACTATTAAAGGAGCAGTCAGCGTGGTGGTCAGATTGATTGGTTTTTGCTGTAGATCACAGACTGGCTTCAGGGTTGTGGAGGCGAACCAGGAACCACAAACTGATGAAATCCTATAAAGAAAATTTTTAGATGCTGTTTTATATTTATATTTAAGGCCTGTTTTCTGAATAACATTGACTGTTTTACTTTCTCTCAAAACATCAAGAACATGGTTTCATACAAAAACAGGTGAAAAAAACAAACAGAAATCACTTGGATTTCTACAGCAAAAATTAAAAAAAGTTCTAGTCATCTATCTCTTAAAACAACGCTGAGAGCCAGGCTCACATTTGTCCTCTGCTTTGCTAAAGCTGCACGTGGCAAGTTGCCAAACCCAAGTGGAGAAGACCTTCACACATGCAGCCCACAAAAGCATCCTCAGTGTTTACCTGACATTAGTGCAATGCCAAAACAACAAGAACTGCAGCCTTCACTGTATTTCCTCAACAAGGTGAACAACGCTATGATTAAATGCTACGTGTATATCTTACGGGGAAGTGACTGAAATGAATCTCTGAGCTTTTTGTAAACGTGTCACGGCCAGTGGTAAATAAAGATCCGTCTTTGCTGCAAAGTGTTGAATCAGCTCTCGTAGCTTCAGCACAAGCAGCGGCCCTCTCTGGTGACTCTCATTGTTTATCTGTCAGACAGCGAGAGCCATGTTTGGCTCACCTCCACGAGGGGAGGACAGCAGCTTCTTGTCTGTTTGCATGCCTCGCTGTCATCTCTGCAGGTACATCCAGCCACAAAACATTTGACCTGCGTGTCCTGGTTAGTCATGCAGGAAACAGATGGCGATACTAGTAGACAGGAGATGTTTTGCACTTGCAGGTCTTCTCGTGTGTCTTGTACTTTGGCATCATGGATTTTTCATTCTTTTTTTTTTTGCTGAGGATAATATAGTCCAGGCAGTCCACTCTATGCAAATAGAGGTAGAAGAAATTCTCTGTGACTAAAGAACCACATTAATTCAATCAAATCAAAGCACTTAACTGATTGCATGCTTGCATATTAAGCTGGTCTTTTAAAACTATGCACTACAGATTTTTTGGCAATCCATGTGCACCCAGCCACATCATGATTATTGCTTAAGAGAAACTCTGCAAAAGTGCGCATGTTATATTCCCCAGGAAGTCTGTGGCATCTGGGGAAGCGACAGAAGAAGTCTCTGGGTGATTCAGGAACAAAACAACATTTTTTTTTAAATTAAGTAAAGTCAGAACCATGGCCAAGCTGCTATCGCCACATAAAAGTAAAAAGAATGCGACAAAATTTAGTAGCCTGTAACTAAAAGGGAAATTAATTAAATAGCTGGCAAACTGCACGCACAAATCTCCATGAGCTCATACACTGCAAACAGAAATACACTAAAAGACTGAGGTTCTCCTCTCCCCCTGCCTCCGCTTAAATACTCCCAGGCTTAATTGCTGAGTGGATTCAGCTGCAAAGGGCGGTGCATACGATTGGAGAGAGCGTAAAACACACAGACAGACACACAGACAGGCAAAAGCTTCAGTGTGCTTTTATTACAGTACATAGCATCATTATGTGACAGCACAAATAAGCTGTTCTAAATGGGCATATTTGCATTTAGTATCGGATCAGTACCACTATCATCCAAACCTTGATCTGACTGTTTTTTTGTACTTTAGTGTCAGCGTTAAAGGCTTTTCAGTTTGTTTTTGCCAGAAGCCACAAGTCCATTTTTACTGTATCCTAGTAAAATAATAATCTTGTTACACCCTGTATCCATAAGCAATGCAGTGGACAAATTTAAAGGTTACAATGACCTGCTTTTATATATTTTAAATGCCATATATATGCTTTGAACCTACAGTATGTGGTAAAAACCTGAACTTAAAGTTCTTACTTCATACTTTCTCCCAAACTTTGCCACTTCATCTTCTGTTTTCTCCCATTTCTGATCAGCCCTTTATAAAAAAGCAAAAAAAAAAAACACTCCACATGTTTTGATCATAATCTTCTGTCCTCAACTCTTTCCATCTCTGCTGCCTCTTTTATTACCACTGCTCATCACTTCTACATGGCAGCATCATCTGTAACCCTCACCGCTCACATTCACATTCGCTTCTCAAGGACCCGGCTGAATTTCCAAATGGTCACAGTGGCCTCTAATCAATTAAAGCCGGCTTTTAAAAGAGCCCTCGAGTTTGTGTTTTTGAACATGTGGGAATTCAAGTAACAATTGGATTTTCTGTAGCAGTTTAAGACGCTGTTATGTTATGAAGCTCTCAATCCGACAGCTTAAGCATTCAAAGGGATGTTTTATGTTTCTCTTGTTAGCTTGTATAGTTTCAAATAATGACAAGCTCAAGCTTCAGACTGCTATTTACATTTACTTTCTGACAGTTTCCGACTCTTAGATCTATATGATGTCAGATAGGGCTGATAACCCTAATATGGCATCTCATGTACAGAAGCTCCACCCACCTGCTGCTAGTCAATCAATCAGAGGGCAGCTGGCTTAAAGAGAGAGGCTAAAACAACTTGTTTCCAGACAAGACAAGACAGGCCCAGCATAAGACAAGTAGGATAATTTTAGACTCTGGTTTATGCAAAGGTACTGGAAGTTGCATAATAGGCCCACGGTATATATTTAAATCAAAATTGTACAGTGTAAAATGTTTTTGTTTTATTTTTTTGCTGGTTAACATTTAATTTCAATAAAATGTGTAAAATAATTGCAGCTTCTACTGTGTTCAACATGTTTGTGTTATATAGAATTTTTTCTTGTAAATGTCTGGGTATTACTGAACATAGTGGAAGTTTCACCTGAATCTAAAGTCATTACTGCTGCTATTTCACTGTCATTCAAGGGCAATTCGTTTACAATAAACACTCTATTTTGTACTATGGACTTAAACTTAATTAGTTAACGCGTTGGCTGCTTTGCGTTCACATGAAATTGTTTTGGTTTTTTGGTTTGTTTGTTTTTTTTGCTAATTCCATAGCAAAAATTATCCTGCTGTTTATGTAGATGTACTTTCTTCTTTGCGTCGGGCCTAAACAGTTCACAGCTTGCACTATACTTTCTTATGTGCTTTGTTAAAAATCATGCATACTAAAACCCCTGTAAACTGTGACACTTTGATTCAAGCTGGTTCTGTATTATTTTTGATGTAGATAATGAACTTCTCTTTGTTGTCTTATCCAAAGTGATATCTCATGTCTTATTTATTTCATGTCATTCAATTTCCTCTGGCGTTCATGTAGCTTAAAAAAGTGTTTGGATGACCTTTAGCTTGGGGGGAAAAAAGGTTCATTGTCAACAGCCCTGAGAGGAAGTCATGAAACAACATGCAAAATATGTTCTCACTCGATTCTTCTCTCAAGATACCTGGTTGTTTTTAGCTTGTGGCGAGTAGCAAGGCCACCGTCCTCCACAGGGAATGAATCCCACTCCACCCCATAGTCATTTATATGAGCCAGAGGTATAACATAGACTCAGGGTACAGAGGAGGGGGTAAAAATTACCATTTTTAGAGCAGCATTCACAGCTGTAACTAAGCAACAACAACTTTATTTAGTGTCCTTGCGCAGGTCAAGCTGTGCCATTTCCCATCAGGGATGGCGGGCGTGATGAGAGAACAGCAGCTGCGATATCTGTAATTGGTGTCGGAGATAAATTAAAAATACAGGAAATGAGAATAGTATGGAGGACTGTAAGTGCCAAAATTACTTACACACACACACAAATATAGCAGTGGCTTTCAGATGCTGGAAATGAGGTTGGAGACTCAACCTCATCAAGCTAACTGACCAGAGATCAGTGCTTCATCTTATACTCATGTGATGATTAAAAGCTTGGATGGGTTGATAAAGGGGTTTGGAATCTTAAAACTGGCTGTTGCAGACTTTAACATGGGAATGGCGGAATACATTTATCTGTTTTGGATAAAAATGAAGACTTTATTCTACGAAACAGGCAATGCCCCTTTTTAAATCTGAAATTTACTGATAAAAAGTTTGGAGATTTAAAGTTAGACACTTTTATTCCAAGTGCAGCCTCCGTGTCTGAGTCTAATTTAACACTGGAATGCTAATTAGAAAAGATACGTGGGAGAAAGTGAGCGAAATGAACAGCAGCATCTTCCTGCATCTCATCAGCATCCTTTGCAGTCATGTCACTCTCCCGCTCCACATAAACAGTCACATTGCCTAACCATTTCCCGTGGCCGGGGTTATAAAGTATACCATTCGCCTGCTGCACTCTTCACGTTGGCTTCATGCGAAGACTTATTTGTATTCGTCCGATGGTTTCCACTTGGTTGTATTTGTTTTTTGGAGAGCAACACTGGGGGTGAACCCTGAATGCCTTTTGCAGTCAAAAATGATGAATTCAGTAGAAGAACTGCAAAGAAAGCAACCAGTAGTTGTGCCAAAATTCAACGCCTTGTTGAATTTGAACAAATCACCCGCTGGACGAGTGTTAAGTTTTCTGTTCCTGTTACAGAGGACAGCTCACACTGAAGGTTAAAGGCTGTCCCTCAGGCCATCACACAACCATCTGTCATGTTCATTTAAGCTGTGGGATATTTAAGGACACCTTCAAATCTTGTCAGTATTAAGCCGTGAAAACATTTACATTCACCCTGGAGTACAACTTAAAAAACATGTAATTCTTCTTAAGTTTTTACACTGAGCGATGCAGACAGCACAACGGCTGTGCTACTTCTTCTTCTCTCGATGTGCTGAAACCCACCTCTAAAGAAAATCTGTATTTAAACATCAACATCTGAAAGTTGTTGGGTTTTTTTATTTCAAAGTTCCATCTGCGGCACTTATTACACAAATCTTTAAATAACCTTGAGATTTAAAAACAGTTATCTGCTCTTTAGTATGCCCGCTGACAAAGCTCTGGTGGATCCATTTAAAGTCTATTCAAATGTGGCATTTAGAGCTGGAACTGTGAGCATTTTTCCTTCAAGTGGGCTCTGCTGCAAACAGAAGGAGATGGTTAAAAAAAAAAATAAAAAAAAATCAGACAACAGTGTGGTATTATCCAGGAAAACAAATCAAAAGGAAGCCGATGCAGAAACTGTTATTCACCAGTGATTTAATTTAAATTGCAAAAAATACAAATGGAAGTTCAACATTTTCTTTCGTTAGTCCTTATTGAGAATCTGGTTTCTGTGGCCTTATGGGGCCAATAGACAGGGGCCGGTTGGTGAAAGGGTGCCACAGGCCCTGGATGCTGGGACTGTCTGTGTGGAAGGGTTTGCGAATGCGGATGATTTCCAGACCGGACTGATTGGTCAGCTTAGTCAAAAGCTCGGATATCTGCTGAGACGTTTTGCTCGTGATGGTTTCTTCCCTCACGTTGCCATTTACTGCAAAAAAGGAAAATATATGCGACTTTTAAGAGGACACCTACAACATTAACATTAACAACAATACCTTCTACCTATGTTATACTGCCCCCTACAGTATCTAAGACTGCTTTATGGCAGTTTACTTTTCGTGCTTCTTATTAAGTAAGTAAAAATGAGACAGAACAACAGATTTTGGATATAACATTAACACAAACTGTCTATTTCTAAAAATGTTCATTTGGATTTGGCACATGGTTTCATAGCTGGGTATTATAACAGTGAAGTTGGATGAAAAATCTACCTTATCCATACTCAAGCTTTTTGAAAATGGAGTGTTCATTAAAACTTCTGACAAAATGTTTAAAAATTAAATGAAATATTAATTTGCATATGTGACTTTTAATTTGTTTCATATGTGCTGATGAAGAAGTCTAAAATATTAATTCATCAAATATGATACAATTGGCGTGACAGGGTTAAAGACTATTACATGCCTTCTATATGAGAAGCTGGAAATAAAATATCAGTTCCCTATCTACAAAATTCTCATTTCTACAATGCTTCCAAATTTGCTGTCAGAGATCCAGGATCCAAATATTTTAGAGATTTCAAGCATCCATCATTCTATAAATGTCCTTACTGATAAAGCCACAGTACCAGATAGTTACCCTAAAAATATGAAGAACCTGATTCAAGGAGTTTTCAGATAATATGAAAGAAATGTTAGAAAATATGCCTTGATGCATGCTCAATCATACAGGTAAGGAAATCCTGAGAAGATTATTATTTTTTTCTGGACGTAGTGTTTTCAGTGGGACAAACGTTTCATCACTCATCCAAGTGACTTCTTCAGTCTCAGCTGACTGCAGGTTTCCCCAACCTTATGAACAGAACATCTGCATAGCCAAATATGGAGTTTCCTCAAGAGCCAGAAGAGAAAAGGATGCCACACCGAGGATGTGGAAAGCGGGGGGAAAATTTGCCTGACAGAAAACTCACCCAAACAGTAAAAAACATCCTTGCAGGGTTAAATTTAAAGCCGAGGCAAATTCCGATAGTCGAATTGATCACAGCTACAGAAACAGCAATTCAAAACATCAACTTTGCAGATGTGGAAGCAGAGCAACTGGGGGCGAAAATGTCCTCAGCATCCAACATCAACATGGGGGAGAGGAAGGCACTCACATCGCTTAGTAATAACAACATTATCATCCTTCCGGCAGACAAGGGTAGGTGCACGCTTTTGCTAAACCAGAAAGACTAACATGAGAAAATTTTGTTGCTGCACAGTGACAAAAATACTTATGAGCCCCTGAAATGAGAACCAGGTAGTTGTTACAGGAAGAAGGTGATAGACTGTCTCAAACAGTTAGAGCAAGACATCGTTATTGAGCAAACCTCATACCACAGGCTATACCCAGGAGAATCTAAACCAAGTCTGTATGGTTTACAGAAGATACATAAACAGGGTGCACCTGTAAGACCAACTGTCTGTATGATCAACTCGGTCACCTATAACATCAACAAGTTGCTGGTTTCAATTGTCAACCTATTGGTGGGCAGCTCTAAACACCACATCCAGAACACTTCGGATGGAATCAGTTAAGCCTTATCTCATCTTATTTTAGTCAGGCACATCTGTGATGGTTAGTTTGGAAGCATTTGAAAGCTTACCATCTCTAGAGAGTCATGACTAAATTCCTACGTGATTACCATTCATTTTGGTACTCATCTTTTTTATTCAGTATACTTTATCGATTACTCAGTTCAGAGTCTAGTGAGTGGAATATAATAAATGTTCTAATAAACATTCAGTTGCTCTCTATTATAATTTCATTACCTTTAAATTCCTTAACAGAAGCTTGTAATCTTAACTCCTTCTCTCTTTACTTTATATCTACATCAACAAATGATATATATTCAGAAATCTCACTGTCACTCTGCTTCACCATTGTTTCAGTAAATTTATTCAGGTCTGATTCGAACAGAGCTGTGGGCACTTACAGTATTCTGCAACTATTTTTGGTACTCTGCAGGGCTGCGGAGACACATAGACAACAGTTCCAGGGTTCTTGTTGGCATAATCCACAACTCCCTCCTCGATAAAATCCCTGAAAAAGCAGATTAACCGTATTACAGTTTGGTAAGGGTGACAGAGTTTTTTGTTTGTTTTTTGAGCCATACCTGCCGATTATTTTCATTACTGGTTAATAAATTATTATACTTTTGTTTAAACCACACAGTCTGAGCGTAGCTGTATAAAATGGAAAATTAAATGACAATCATATAATTTAATTTTATGCTTTGTGCTACTTTTCATTTCAAAAAGAAAAAGAAATGCAAGAACAGTTAAATAACTGATAATAAAACAAACTTGGGGGAAAAAAATCTATCCAGATGACAGACATCACCCTGCAATTTTCAGATATGAATTTTTAAAAAAACATTTTCTTTAAAATACAATTTTAGAAGAGCACAGGATGTTTTAATTGGTTAATGTGAAGCTGGACCCTTTCACTATTATAATGCAAATGTAAAGTATTTGGCCTATTTTGTGTGTTAGCAAGCAGATAAACAGCTTAAAATGAATCAACAGACATCACCAACAACTGGTGGTGATGTCTGTCAACATCTACTGCCAGTGCTAAAAGATTCTTCTACTATTTATGATCCCTGAATCCATATCACAGGAATGTGATGATCATCTGGCTTTCTGATTGTGTGTTACAGAAGCAGGTAGTGCATTTGAGCCTACATGCTATAATAGGAACTGCAAAAATCCTGCTTAACTGCACATTTTTGGGCCATTTCTAAAATACTCTATCGGTTACACCTTGTCAGTACTGGGTTTGACCGCCTTTTGCCCTCAGAACTGGTATTATTCTTTGTGGCATAGATTCAACAAGGTGCTGGAAACATTCCTCAGAGATTTTGGTGCATATTTACATGATAGCATCACATAGTTGCTGCAGATCTGTTTGTTGTACATCCTTGTTGCAAACCTACTGCTCCTGCTACTAAAGATGCTCTATTAGATTGAGATCCAGTGACTGCGGAGACCAGGATTTCAGCTCTGTGACATGACATCAGAAGGCGACTTGGGGTTCATTATCTTCCCCAAGGATACTTCGCTATGTAGACCAGAGGAGCCGGACATCAAAACACCAACTTTCTGGTCAGTTGGTGACCCGCTCTGCCTCCTGAGCTACAATTCATGATTTCATGTAGTTTACACCAAATTCTGACCCTTCCATTCAAATGTTGCATCATTTCCAATTTTCTATTGTCCAGCTTTGGTGTAGGTTCAGTTTCCTGTTCTCAGCTGAAAGGAGTGACATCAGGTGTCTTCTGCTGCTGTAGCCCATCTGCTCCAAGGTTTAACGTGCTGTGCGTTCACAGATGCTCTTATGCATCTTCAACTTTCTTCAAAATTCTGATGCTCGTTTGGACTTCATCTGGTCTTTGGCCATGTCTACATGTGATCGGTTGCTGCCATTGTGATTTGTTCACGAGATATTTGCATTAACGAGTAGTTGAAAGGGTGTTCCTAATGAAGCGGCAGATGAGCATATTGTATGCTATGACGTTATGACAAATAGATTTTTAACCTGCTGTTGGCTTACAGCATCTTTTGGATTCCTCCACAGGGAAAGACGGCTGATTAATGAAAATAATGAGGTACAAGACTAACGTCAACATAATAGACTGGGATCTAATTTAAGAATAATTACAAGATCTAAATCAATAAACCGTGTGTTAATCAGGAAACCAAGTAATCTCTTTGATTTTTTCAAGGCCGTGACTGAGAGGAACTGTCTACATAAACTATCAAAGACTTCTTTTACCTGGCTCCCAGCGAACTCTGAGCCTTTTTGGAGAAGACGATGGAGATTCGTTTTAGCTGGCAAACGTACCGACCGACGCCATTTTGAAGGACACTTCTCAAAAAACGACTCGGTGTCCCTCTGGAAGTCATCGTTAATCTGCTCTTTTTCTACTGCTGCACAAAAATAACACAGTCAAACACACTAAACGGTAACAAGGCTCTCAGAGGACAACCTGACGGGCATGTACACAGCGCTGTCCGTCAGTAGCAAGTTCCGGAGTGAAACGCATAGCTGACATAACGGTTAACAAAAAAAGATACCTTCTAGAAGAAGACTTTTTTCGTTGACAAATTAAACGTCCAACCATTACATTTATTTTCTACTATAAAAATGATCACGTTAAGTATAATTTAAAAGGTAAATATGTGTTAGTCTAGCTTTCCGAATATCTAGTCTTCCGTATTGTTCACACGGACTTGTTTTGGAAACGCACCGAAAAGCCCGGGTTAGAGTGGAGCATGGGAGGAGAGGAGGACAGATATCAGAGACTGTAAGTTGTTCTTTTTCGGCCTCATGTTTTATTAAACGCCACTAACTTTTGAGTGATGCTTTCATACGCCTCCATGATAATTTTCATGTTCGGTACGTCTCCGTTTGACAAGAAAATAACGGTTTTCTGCCTCTCCTTAATTTGACTGTCTAGGTCACCCCAAAACTTTGCTGTGCTTTTCCTATATTAGGCTGCTGGTTTCCTCATGTCTTGGTGTCTTTTTGCAGGTTCAACGTGCTGACCACATAACCAATGTGGAAAGGCTTGCTGCTGAGGAGCTCCACCTGTCTCTTGCAGGTGGGAGCTCCAAGGTTTCTCCTCCAAGGATGCCTTACATCTCCATTTTTGAGACCTCTAGCAAAGAGGCTGCTTCACAGGCCATTTCCAATACCTTTGGGTACAGGCTACTTCCTGACACACACTGGGACCAGAGGCTATAAAAAAGACACCAAATCTACTTTAGAGTTCCCTGTGACCCCAGTCACAGTCACAGACATCAAACAGTATCTACGCTCCAAAGATATTCCCTTCCACGATGGTTACAGCTGCCTCCACATTCCCAGCATCTTTGTGGATTTGTCAACCAGGAAGGAGGTCTTCTCCCTGTTCATTGACAAAACCACGGGACAGTTTCTGTGCAAGGACACGCTGGTGGAGGGGAGCTGGGAGGACCTCCAGGACTGTTTGGAGGTGATGCAGAAGGACGGGGAAGAGTCCCTTAACCCTAATGTGCTTCTGGGGTATCCGGAGAGTGTGGAGGAGCAGGAGGAGAGAGAGAGGGAGCTGAGAGAGGTGCAGAGGATCTGGTCCACCTCTGTGCCACTCACTGACCTCCCAGAGGATGAAGCTCAGCTGATTAAAACCATTTTCCAGGTATTATTCTGTGTAATTTGTGATTCTTAATTCAAAAGATGACACGAGCAGCTCATGAACAGCTTCCCCAGAGCTGTTGCCCTCACCACACATCTCCCTGCACTGATTACAAAGATCGGCAACAACTAACACACACACACATCCTCAGCTCTGTGACAAACATATGTGCACATACACAACCATTCTCATCCTCTGAGACTGCTAGTACCTGAATGTAAAGTCACTTTAAACATATATATTTATTTTGTTAAATATGGTGGTGTATGTACAAGACCTTACCTTTTCCTCTACAGTGTCATCTGGCGCAGTAATGTCAATGCTTTGTTTCAGATCACAAAGATCTCCAATGCAACCCTCAAGAAGTTTGGAGTGAGATTATTCAAGCCAACCAAAAGCCTGGTTTTCCCCTGGTTTGGTGGACCTGATTCCTCTTTAAAAGGGGTCAAGCTCCTGTCAGCTCAAAGAACAGAAACTGACAAAGTCACATATAATGAAGCTACAGTCCCAAAGTCTAACTCCTATTACAACTTGTTTGGCCTCCCTCTTGTGGGACGTCTGGACTCGGAGGTGGTGGTGACGGGTCACGAGTTTGACACGATGGCTGTGAGTCAGGCAACAGGACTCCCGAGTGTTGCTCTTCCTCGCGGGGTCAGCTGCCTTCCTCCAATCCTGCTGCCCTACCTGGAGCAGTTCAAGCGGGTGACTCTGTGGCTCGGGGGAGACATTCGCTCCTGGGAGGCATCAAAGAGCTTTTCTCGCAAGCTGGGCATCAGGCGTTGCTCCCTTGTGCGGCCCGGTGAGTACCGGCCGTGTGCGGTGGAGGCTCTGGCCCGAGGTAAAAACTTAAGCAACATCATTAAAGCCTCGATCCCAGCGGCCCATAAGTCCATAGTGTCCTTCAAGCAGCTCAGAGAAGACGTTTATGGGGAGCTCGTCAACACAGATCAGGTGGCTGGAGTGAAGTGGACGAGGTTTCCTGAGCTCAACAGGATTTTGAAGGGACACCGCAAGGGAGAGCTGACTGTTTTTACAGGTACTGTGTTACTAATAATGATGTTTTAAGACTCAGGAACTAATTAGTTGTTTTTTTTTAAATCCCAAGAAATCATAACCAAAATTAAGTCATTTCTTCCCTTTTTAAAAGTGATACAAACAAAACTCATAGCATCATATAATCAATATCTCTGTGGATAATGGATCTTTCTTCCACCACTTCTAGGTAGCCAAATATCAAAGCCAATTTGTAAGCAAGCAGATTTAAATTCAGTCTTTTATTGTTCTGCCCTGAGTTGTGATCGAGTTTCACAACTCAACAACAAAACAAAAACCATACCTGATTGAAGTTTGAATGATATCTTCTTCAAGATGGTCTCATTTGTCAGTGCTGCAGCGCTTTCAAAACTGCTCCTGTTTTCCCTTTTCTGACTTCTGCAGCATTGTGGCTATTTTTGGATCAGTCAGTGAAAGTCCCAACATGCTTCTTTATATCTGCAATTTCATCATGGAACTTCAAACATGTGAATAAAAAATCCACTTCCTGGTGTCCCACTGTGTGCCATTTAAATTGAATCATCACTGTTATAACACTGACCCACTGCATTACCTAGTTGAATTAATGCTAAAAAGCTGTGGAAGTCATGCAGCACTGCTCAAGGACCCTGAACCGGAGATAGGCTGACTTAAATTCAGCCACAATATTTGATAAAAAAAAAAAAATCAAACCGCATACTTTCTTTAAAGGAAGAGGATGTAAAACACTCACAGCTGGCCAAGTTTTTACTTTTCATTAAAGTGTCTGGAAGTATGATGGCTTTTTAGTTTACCAGTTTAAATATAAAGTACAAGTACTAGCTTTATTAACCCAGTACGCAATCATGATGTTTCTTTACCAGGTCCTACTGGAAGTGGGAAAACCACCTTTATCAGTGAGTTGGCCCTGGACCTTTGCATGCAGGGTGTCAACACTTTGTGGGGCAGCTTTGAGATCAACAATGTCCGTCTAGCCAAGATCATGCTGACACAGTTCGCCATGCAGAGGCTGGAGGAGAACCTGGAACAGTATGATTTCTGGGCAGACAAGTTTGAAGAGCTGTCGCTTTACTTCATGACTTTCCATGGGCAGCAGAACATCAAGTAAGTCTTATTAGTACTTCAGGGATCCATTAAGTTCTTTTATTGAAGAGGTTTGCATTGTTTTTTAACATAATCTTGATAGTTTGATCACTTCTTGTTGGAGTGTGGTTGCTCAGTCAGTAAATGTTAAATGAGTAAACAAGTTTTTTAAATGGACTAAAAGACCCTCTGACTCCTGTCCAATTTTGCCTGCAGGACAGTGCTGGACACAATGCAACATGCTGTCTACCTCTATGATATCAACCATGTCGTCATTGATAATCTACAGTTCATGATGGGACAAGAAAACCTTTCAGTAGACAAGTAAGATAAAAAAAATGTTGTTTATCTGGTGTGTGATGATGTCATGTTAGTGCTGTTATTGGTGTGTTAATGCTGTATGGAAATGCAATGTTCTCATGTACCTCAGGTTTGCAGTCCAGGACCACATTATCGGGGTTTTCAGGAAGTTTGCCACTAACAGCTCCTGTCATGTCACCCTGATCATTCATCCGAGGAAAGAAGAGGATGACCGAGAACTGCAAACGGCATCAATCTTTGGTTCTGCTAAGGTAAGGCAGTGAGAGTTTCAGTTCAGTCTGGTAGAAAATACTGAAGGAACAGTTGAAAATGACAAATTGTTGGCAGACAGATACTGTACATTTAATGTACAATGTTTAATTATCCTCTTAACATTGTCACAGTCACCAGTGACCTGGTCAGCAAAAATGTACCCTATTTGTGGGTATTTCCCCTATCTGGCATTCGCAAATTAAAATATTTTAACAGGAGAACTAAAAGGGCCAAAATAGAATCACTGCATCGATAGGTTGTTATTGTGAGAGTAATAATAATTTTGTTCATACTCATCAAAATAGCATGGGTATCATTCTATTTTGATTCTTAAAAAACATTAAAAACATTTTAATAAATAAGCACATCTCTTGACTTGCTGTTTCAATAAAATGCATATACGCTTGCTCTCTTCGCAAATCTGCAGTTTTCCAATTTAAGTAAGACACGTCTTGACTTTTAACTCCTTCCAGGCCAGCCAAGAGGCCGACAACGTCCTCATACTGCAGGAAAAGAAGCTGGTGACGTGTCCTGGCCGCAGATCCCTGCAAGTGACCAAGAACCGCTTTGATGGAGACGTGGGCATCTTCCCCCTGGACTTCATCAAGTCTTCGCTGACTTTTTCCACTCCCATCAAAGGAAAACACAAGCTGAGGAAGGTCAACACTAAGCCGGAAAACGAGGAGGAGGACGAGGCCACTGCAGCGGCGTCAAAGAAGGAGGAGGTTAAAAAAGACAAGGTAGAGAAAGTGAAAGGAAACACAAAGACTCCACGAACTGTTAAAAGTCCTGCAAATGGAAATGGAGCCATTCAGAAGTGAACTTTCAGAGTATTCTCTCTGTTGATCAGGGATTTGAATGTTAAACCTCAACCAGACTCTTTGTATGAAAGATAATGTTCGACAGTTGTATGTCAATAACAGGAGGTTCAGCAAAGCTAAATACAAGTACATAAATATGAACATGCATATGAAATGTATGAATTAACATCCCTGAATCCAGAATATGCCAGGTAGTGAAAACGTGTTTCATCGTGGAATGAAGCATGTTACAGACAGAATGTGAAATAATGACAGCAAAGTGTTAAACTAGTCTTCAAAGCTTTTCTGTTCAATGTAGTAAGACTGAATTTGTTAAGTGTTGTTTAACGTATTGAAATAATAATGTGACGCCAGGAACTACTGATTAAATAGGGATGGTAACACTATCACTGTCTGCTTAGAGGCATAATACAAACCCCTGCACATTACCACAGTGTGTTCTCTACTGACTTTTTGTACAACAATGATTTGTTGCTTTTTATAATAAACCCCCCCCAACAACTTCTAATGCAGATTGTGATTGCGTTTTCTATCTGTGGTCACCAGGGGGCGTTGTGTGCTAAGAGACTGGAGTTTAGTTAACTTCAGATAATTGTTGAGCAGCAAATATCAGCTGTCCTATTTCCAAATGGCAGTGATCACTGACTACAGACATATGTGTTCGTTTAGTTTCGTCTCTCGGCTACAGCAGCGACTGCCTTAACAACTTGCTAACGATTTGTTCCATATGTCTGATTTATAAATGACTACAAGCGTGACAAAGCTCAGTTATGCACGTTAGGAAAAATGTAGTTTAATTCTGCACTCTTTGGTTAAGCAGCAAGCTGTGTACCCCTCTTTCCTTGCTGTTTGACTGAGTTTCAGAGTTTGTTTGTTCCCTTTTATCCTCCTGTGAGCCTGCCTTTTGAATAATGATAATTAAGTTCAAATACCACGTATGGAAGAGAAGAGTACTAAAGGTTTTAGCACACTTGCCTGTTAATTACCCTTCATTGTCCAACCTTGGCCTTCTCCAATGTCACACCACACAATGCATTATTTAGAGTGGGTGACTTTAAATAAATGCAAAGTGTTTTTAAAACATCTTCCTATGAATATTTCATGGGTAAAGTCAACTACCCTGCCTCAGTTGCACTGGTGTGGGGTTACGAGTAGAATCAGCAGCTCTCAGAAGTGAAGAAAGTCTGCATTGCGCTGTGTCGTGGGCTGCTGCAGGACGTATTGATGGCTGAAGTGTCGCACTTTATCACAGTCACTGCAAACCCATATAAATTTCAGGTTTATGATTTAAAGGATTAGTGGTTCAATGTGGGGATATGAAAGTGCCTGTGTGTTTTATACCAGGGCCTTTGGTGATTTGCAACCTTGAAATATGCACTGAATAAATCAAATGTCACTGTGGGAATGGCACAAGTGTAAAATCAAGGACCAAAGGTGCCAAAATGGAAAAAAAACTAACTACTGAATAATGAAAAAATCCAATTTAATGCACTAGATACATAGATACAAGTTATAGAATATTTTCTTTTCTGTTATTTCGTATTTCTGTATTTTCTTTTACAGTTCCTTTATGTTTCAATATAAAACGAGCTGGCCAACACCAAAGGCAAACACTGGACTATTATTGCAACACCTTGATTAATCTATTCAGCTGTAGATTTCCTTACATCCTTTGAGTTTGTTCCATGGCCCAATTTGGGCCAAGCTTTGGTCTCACAGATGGCCTCACATTTGATTCTAGAATACTTTGGTATATAGAGGAATTCATAGTCCACTCAGTGACTACAAAGTGCCCTGTAACTGCAAAACAAGCCTGAATCATCAACCCTCCTTTGCTGTGCTTTGACAGTTGAGCTGTTTGTGCTGATAATGCTGTGCATTGTGGCCAACATCTCCACTTTGGTCTCATCTGTCCACGGGACATTGTTCCAGAGGTCCTGTGGATTATACAGATGCAGGTTTGCACACAAAAACCAGCCACGAGAGAAGCGGCTTCTTCTCGGTGACACTTCCAAACATGCCGTGCTGTTCAGTCTTTTTCTAATTGTGCAGTCATGAACTTTAACGTTTAGCATGCTAACTGAGATCTATAGAGTCGGTGGTGTAACTCTTGTACTTTGTCTTTGTGTTAGACTGTTTGAAACTGGAGTGAATTTGCTGGAAAGTCCACTCCTCAGGTGATTGTGGCATAAACTTGACTGATTGACTGACTGCTTTGGTCCTCCATATGTAACACCTTAGGATTATGGGAATGTTGAGGCAGTCTTTGCACTCCAGATGCATAGCTTTGCTATGACTTATGAAATATCAATCTAACCTGAATGTCATACATATGTATAACAACATGCCTACTTTGTCTTCAAAATCTTTCAAACCAAGTGCCTGAATTACTCAAAATGCAACTCAGTTGTTGAGAGTTTCCTTTTTTCTTACTAAAGTTATTTATTCCTTTAAAACCTGTACAAACTCTGGAGCAGGAAAAGGGTTTTGTACAGCTTTTTACTTTTAGTAAAAATGAGTGAAGTTGCTCTTTAGTACTTTTGTCCTGTTGTTTGCCTCGGTGTGGACTTCGCAGACACTGGGGCCTCTCTGTCTGCCTCTGATTTCTTTGCTGGCTCCATCTTTGACAGACCAGTCCAAGGGAAGCTCCTGGCACCAGACTCATCTTACACGAGGTATGCGCAGCCTCGAGCTTCTCGGATAGCTGAAACTGTAAAATATTGTTGTAAGCTGTAGGAATAATTCCTGTGTGTGTTTGATGAACCTAAATCACTGCGTATGAGACAGCAGGAGGGAGACAGGTCTTTGTATAGAAGCTCCATCATTTTGTTCTCATTTCTGCTTTTCTGACCCTTCTGTTAATGCTGAATATTTTCTGTGAATGTTTTACTGCTGTGTAAGTACACACTGCTCGCCATAATAACTCCAGGCTGTGTGCTGGATGGGTCCGTGCGTCCTTTTGACTGTGTGGGTGTGGGATATGGCCCGAGAGATCTCTGAATGGGGCTCTTTGTGTTTTAAGACATTACTGCACCCAGATGATGGTGGCTGTGTCGCCCGCCAGCTCCTTAAAAATCACAAAAATGCACAAAAAAATACAACTGAGCTAAATGAATGCAGACACATGAATGTACAGTCATAAGCTATAGGATTACTGATCCTCTTCCAAGTAAGCTTTTAAAAATATCTAGAGTTTCATTGTTCTTTTTCCTCTTGTAAACAGGTGGTGAAAATCCAAATTAAATACAAGAATCCCTTTGTGCAGCAGCACAGCACTCTATGTCTGATTGTTCTCTTTTGTTGTGAATGGCCTGTGCTGATCAGAGCTTTGCATGCCTATTCAAATAGTTGCCATCTGGAGAGGGGAGGAGATGAAACAACTCCAGTTATGAGGCTTTTAATCATGAAGGCAACAAACAGTGCAGGGACCAAAAGGATGTGAATTAAATGAGGCCGAGAAAAGATGTTTCAGCTGCTGATAAATCCTCTTCCTATCTTTCTAATAAAAACATCATCAGCTGTCAGAATTAAAAATGCCAGCCCACACCACAAAAACGGAACAAGAAGCTATACATCAGTCAGGGAGAAATAAACTTGCATGCTGCTCCCTGCATGATCCGATGAATGCATGACATGCAGGCATAGCTCTCCGCCCCATTAGCTGCCCTTCATTAAACCTCAACTATTTCGACCGAGTCTGGAGGTAATTTCAGGACCTTCAATCAGAGTTAATCAGCTGGGGGCTTTGGTCCTGCGGTGAACTTGGGATCATATTCTTGAGGCTTTTCTGCTGATGTTGGCCTCCATGACAGGACTTTCACTGCAGGAAAGTCAGCCTAGAACACAACAGAGTTTGGAGGTATTTTTAGATAAATTAGGCAACAGTGCAACCACAAAAACATGTTCCTGGTTAGGTTTAAAGTATTAGTTTCATAGAGTCATGTTCCTTGTATTATCTTTGGTTCCTATTATTGTCCTCAATTTTCCTTTTTCGTGTCTCCTGTGTTCCCTTCTGTCTGTCCCCCACAGTTTGGTCTTGCTCCTTTTTTCAGTTTACTTTCTGTTTTATTTTGAAGGTCCGCATGTGGTTTTTTTGTGCTTTTTCTTCTCTGATCTTTTTTGAGCCATCAGTGACTGATTGAGTTCACCTATCCTTGTTCTGTAATTAGTCTGTGTCTGTTCCTTAAGTCTTTGTCAGTTTATCATCGCTACACATTATTTTTACAGAATCTTCCCTGGTAATGGATTTTGTTGTTTTTATATCACTTAACCTGAATCACGCAGCTCGTTTTGTTTACTTTTTGTTTTACAAAAATCCGATGAATGCATCGGCGAGAACACTTGAGTCAGGATACTTTGCCACACAGACTGGAGCAGCCAGAGATCAACCCACCAACCTTCCATTTAGTCACCCCCCAATCCATCTGATGGTCTCCTACTCCACTTTTCTCTCACTCATGAGGAAGATTCAACGATACATAACAATATCGCAAATAATTTACATTTAAGAGATAGACATCATCATACAGACTCTGTATCTAGAACCTAGTTATTCTTTCACTACTGTGTCCAGGGTAAAACAAACAAAAACACAACAGCTAAGCTCTTAGTTCTTAAGCCAATGTGAACGAGAAGTCCTTTTTGTAATCATAAAGACTTGAACATTTAGATTTTTATTACATCTGAGGAAACAATACAATACAATGCAATCAAAAGTTCCCAAACAAAAGCTCGGTGCAGGATTCATTTTGCATCCTTACCAGCTACCATTCACTTATACTTTACTCTATGCACTTTTAAAACATATCAAAACATTTCCTTATGCCATTTTAGTCCATAAACCCCATTAGAACCAATCGCAGGAAATATTATTTGAGCCAGACTCACAGTAGAATAGAAAGTGTCACAGAACATGCTGAGAGAACACCAAGTGCTAGAAGGGGCACACTGAGTATGTAGAGCAAGTTCAACAGTACACTGAGTCTGTGACATTACAAAGATCTGTTTTTAAAACAGTAACTTTCTCCATCCATTCAAGTGCAAAAGTGGAGGCCAGACCAGAATCACCACATTCCTGTCCTTGCATTAGAGGCACTGGCTATAAATCTTAAATGTTCATAAACAGAAACCATTCCCATTATAGCGCCATAAAGTGCATGCCTCATTTCTCTGTGGTTTTGCAGTTAGAGCGTGTTCAGGACTCATGTAGCATGCGGATGGACCAGAGGCCATTTCAGACTCACAGCTGATTCAAGATGCCCCACCACCCCCGGGTGGTGTCAGGACACGAGGGAGGTGGGGTTTACTCCCCTCACTCACGTGCACTCAGCACGTTTGACCCACATTAGCCAACACTATGCCTGCTGTTGCTGCTGTGTATATTAATAACCAAGCTCACATTCTCCTCTCTGTACTCTCACATCATGAAGGAGCACAGTTTTCAGCTCATTATTTGAAACTTAAAATATATTTTGAATCTTTTTTTATTACCAATAAAGAAGTTAATTGAATGATGAATTCATCCAGTTACAAAGGATATTCTTAGGAAGTATTTCTCTGTGAAATAAAGCTACTGAATGACAATTTTCTACATGACTATTTTGGTGTTAGTATTGTTTAATACTTAATGCACCTTTGCACATGTGTGACGTAAAGGAAATGTAGAGATTTTGAAGGTTGCAGACCTTTGTGAGGTGGAGGAAAATGCTGTCGAAGGTGAACTGGACCCTTTGGAGAATGCCTGCAGTGCTTTGCTTCTCTGTGTGTGGCAGTCAGAGCAGTTCACCTACAAACATCTAAAGGTCAATGAGCATGTATGGCTTTTGGGTAAGTATGTCTCACATCAGGTCCTGCATTCATGCAGTTGCTATTATTAAATATTTATATTTCTTATTGATCTTGGTTCTGTATCAATTTCTCTATTCCTATTTACATTGCCTTGTGATTTTAAGTATTATTTATCAGTTTTATCCTCCTTTTAATAGCTTAGGTATTTGTCTTCATTCTATAGCAACGTCCAAGTCATTTTTATTTATTTATTTTCCAGACCTACTTTGAATGAAAGTGTTTTGCACAATGGGGCAAAAATTAATACAGAAATTTTAGCAAGGATTCTAGTTAGGAGAAATTAACAGGGTCACAAACACAGAGAGAAAACGATACAGAAATCAATACGTCTTAAAATGAATGAATCAATACAATTTTAATTCATTCATTGATTATATTGATTCATAACATTAGTCATGCTTACTGTTATGAAGGTAAATAAACACAAAAGAAAATTATTACATTGAATGAATTAGTTAGGAAGCAATTTTAACCCACCCTGCAGCTATGTGAAACATTACCCTCAAAAATACTACTTACTTACTGCATACTCTCATTTGCGTCTCTTTTATAATACTCCATGGATAACTGCTTTATTATTTTTTTGTGTGAACTCTAGTTTAAAATGTAACCATTTAGAATATGCTCTGTTAAAAAAAGGCAGGTGTTATAAGATAAAGCTTCAGCCGACAATTTTCAGTCAAAAATTCGCTTTATTTCCTGTTATTTAATTTCTTTTATAGGCATTGTTTTGTTGTTATTTTGTTTTTGTTTTTAAAAAATAAAATTTTTTAAATATTATTTTTAATATTTTTCAATAACAATTTCTTAATATATTTAATATTGTTTTTCTTTCTTTTTTCTTTTTCTTTTTCTTTTTCTTTCTTTCTTTTTTTTAAAAATTTTGATGTCTGATATGCTTAACTGTCATGTAGAATTAGTCACAGACATTTAGCTGACCACCCACTTGCAGTGACAGAGCTGTACTGTAAACACCTGCCGTCTCACTGTGCTCGACTGGCTTTTAAACATGAGAGGAAAACCTTTTGAGAGTCACCAGCATGCCCTGTTCTTATGTAACACCCAGATCTGGCCAAAGAGAGTGCTGAGGGGCTTAATCTGCCCTGGCACCAAGGGTGTGGAGGCTATTCAAGAGCCCCGA